ATAAAAATAAATTACTGCTTATAAATTTTTTTAGTTACCATAAAAACATCCAGATTAATTCCACATTTTGGAATACTTTTAGTATGTAAATGCAAATAAGTCAGTAAAATATATTAATTATTTTTGGATTTTTTCCGTTGGTTTATTGACTATTAAAATTTAACATTAATACATTACGAAATAAACCATTTTATTTATTTAAAAACGTTTTACTAAATTCTAGCCCAATTTGAAGCAGTAGTTTCTCCAATGTGAGGAAGCACACAAATGGATGCATTAATACGAAAATATTTCCCAATACACATATTTTCCATTCACGCCCAGCTAATCAAACAACTCCCCAAAAGCGGAAATAAATGCGGGTAAGGAAACGAAATTTGCAACAATGAGGAGCACACAAACATATTTATTTCACCATGAGCATGCTGCACACAAGCATAAATATAAGCATATGCACACACACTGGCGCATTCAGGACTCACACACACACCATGACATGCATTAGTTGTGGCCCGGCATTCATTTCATTTTTATATCACACTCACTTTTCACTGTTAGTTATGTTTGCTTGTGGTTTCCTTCTTTTCACGTTATTTATGTTTATTTGCATATATTTTATTTTATTTTATTTTATTTTACTTTATTTTTCTGGGAAACTAGGGGAGAGGAAACGTAACTAAAACACGCTCATTTATCTCGGCATACACCACGCGAAATTTGCGGTAAAGCTAGCATACTTCTGAGCGCCCCGAGTTTATCTGCATGTGGAAATGCATCTGCTACTGTGAGCGAGGTTGGAAAATTAGTAGACAAATAGCTGTAATGGTCAGAACGTGGACAAGTTCAAACTTTAAGCCAGAGTCCTTTGCACTCTTTGTTGCCAACGGCAACCAAATACCAGCTGAAATGTACTTTCCATAGATACACATGTGAGCTTGTTTACGGCAACAGCTTAGATATGCACATAAGCAGCTTACCATTTGATTAGCAAATACATACATATATACCAAACGAATCTCAAGTAATGTGCGCATTGCCAAGTATGTAGAAAATTGTAAGGCAAAGTAATAAAGTGCTGGGTGGCTAAAGATCTTAAATAAAATTTAAAATTCTTTTGATAAAACTATTATTTTCAGCTTCGTCAGGGAATAGTCAAAATGAGAATATTTAAATAAAGTGAATAGTTAAACCTCAGAGAGAACTTGAATTTAATAATATTTTATTTCTTTACAAATCAAATTACATATTTAATAAGCGGTTTTATTTAACGTTGTCCAAAAATAAATGATTATTTAAACACGATTTTAGAGTTTTAAATAAATGGAATTAGCACAATTGTATTAAAAATCGTTTTTAAAACGGATTACATATTAAATTGAAAATATACAAAATATTTGCACAACTTTTTCGTAAGGAATGACTAACTATATTTTTTAATACAAGTGCCTACTAGCAGTAAACCAGAAAAAAATATAAAACTTAATGTTTTCAAAACTATTTTTGTATATAAATTGGACAAGATAATTTGTACTATTTTAGCGTATGTTTGAATAAAAATAAATAGCAATGAAAGTCTGATACCGATAATAGGCAAAGCAATACTCCTACTATAAATATTTTTTTTTTTTTAAATGACTATTTAAAAATATGTCGTAACCCTATGACTTTGCCATATCGCCAACCTGCTAGCAACAGATGTGCAGCAAGAACATAAAAATGAACAGCAACCGAAAAATGCAACACTTGCATCTCCATCAGTAAAATATGCGAACCATTTTGTTGCCGCTGCTTTTGCCATTTGTAAATAGACCGCCCAGATTCCGCCCTGGAATCGAATGGGTCCCTTAGTCATGTTTGATTTGCAATTTTGCTCAATCAAACTCTTGGCAAGGCTCGTACGGACTGGAGCTCGAAATTCGGGAGCAGCCAGCAGGCTGAAACTCAAAAATTCCCAATAAATTTGCGCTATTGACTGTGTCTGGCTACAAATTTGCTGCTTGCATATTTTTTTTGTGAAGCGTATGTTGTGAAAATGCAAATGCAAATACAGGAAATCGCAGAAAGAGTGTGGCCAATATCTGAATAGAGAAAAAAAAAACAACAAAGTGCAAAATATATAAGTTTTATGATTTTTAAAAAATCATTTACTATATCTTGTGACAATGCAACAGGAGAAAATTGCTAAAGTGGACCCGAAAGGATGGCAGTTATAGTTTGTGTTCTGTTTTTTAATGTAAAATGAAGTTCATCATTGCAAATTTATTATTTAGTAAATTATACATTTTTTTAAATTATATGAAAAAATTTCCAAAAAAAATGTTTTATACAAAACTCAAAAAGTTGAAACAACCAAGTATTTACTTAAATATAATAATACATTATTCGACTGGTTGATCTCAAAGGTATATTGGCACCTTGGAGATAAGCAAGTTTTACTTCTATTTATTTAAATTGTTATGAATCTCTAAAAATTATAATTTAAAGTGTGAAAATAAAACCAATAAGATAAGCTTGAAAACTAATGAGTAAAGGATCGAAGCGAAAAATTAATGTTGTGTAAGATTTCCGAATCATTGATTGGGTAGCTGAAAGCCCCGGAAGCAGACCTATGGCCAACATGGCGTATGAGTGTTGCGCGAATATTTTAACAACAGTCACGCAGCAGTTAGAACTGGGCGTGGCTAAGGTATTTGGGGGTATGTGTGTGCAGTCGTGTGTTATTTGGTGTAAATTATATGGCCGAAAGATGCAAAATTAGCCAAATAATGGCTGCCTAATGTGCCGGAAAGCTGGCGAGCTAAAGTTAATGGCGAAAATCCTTTAGTCCCCCCCCTCTGATGAAAACATAAAACGGAGCCACTAAAAGCAAATCGAGAGCGGCACATATTTGCTAATCCAATAAGTGTTAGCTGCTTCACTGCCTGCGAAAAGGGCATTAAAGGGTTAAAGGCAAGCATACAATTTGTGTAAATTTCCAACAGCGAGTTTGTTTTCCCTCCTTTAGGTAAAAACGTATTTTTGGGCTTGTGATTTCTTTTATTTTTGTTGCCCCTGTCAAACTTGTTCCGCGGTAATTGAACGGACTTTAAATGCCAGCCAAAAATTGCACAAAATGCGGGCCAACGCAAACGGCTTTGGTCCAGCTTTTCCTCCTTTCTATTTTATTTGCTTTTGATGTGCCACTGAAGCTGAGGTTTTAAGCGGGACGACGAGGGTGAAGTGGTGCTAACTGCAGTTGGGACTCCATGGCGACTCCTATGCAAACGAAGCCACGCTCGCCAACGCGACGACATAGAAACTTTTTCTATTTCTGAGCTTTTTATTTTTGGTGGCGCTTGTTTTAACCAGCAAAAGAGTTTGGTCAAATAGAAAAGTGTGTCAGGAAACAAAATTATACAAATATATAGAAAAAGGAACGACATTTAGTTTCGAGGTATAAAGGTATACATCTAAAATTACAACCATATAATATGTTGGTTAATATCTAACAATTACCCTTATATAGTCAGTAAATAAACCTAAATTAAAAATATCGAAAAATAGTGATAAAGTATGCTTAAAAAAAATTATTTTATTATTTGAAACTTTAAAACTTTAACTATAGGAAAAATATTTTTACCATACTAAATTTCTGATAGTCATCTTCTTTTAATTGACTTAATTTTCGTACCGAAAAAAAATGTTTTTAAGCAACAATAAACTATATTAAAATCTCTAGAGATTTCGGTGTCACCTCAAAATAAAGACGATATTAAAAATTTAGGGTATTTTAACCAGAATGGGGGGAAAGTCAAGCAGAAAACTGCACCACCAAAAGAACAATTTTCGAGTCGAAAACGAAAATGACGAAAATGGCGAAAAAGGCAAACTGACTTCAAGTGGCATTTTGACATTTTGTTGAATTTCAACTGGCTTCTTGTTTGGGGTGAAGGGCAGGGGACAGTGGGTGGGTTTTTGGGGGCGTGGTAGGTACGTAAAAAGCGGCAGGGTCAAGGGGACAGAGAACTCACAGGTGGCTGGCCATGCAAACGAAATGCAGAAAGACGCATTTTTTCTGCTTAAATTAGAAAAACAATTGCCAACGTTGATGGCTAGAAAAGCTGCAACTTTGGTCAGCAGGTTGACCACACAAAAAGTACGCAAAGCGTTTACTTTTTACACGATGCGTTTCAACTTCGCCGAGCTGGTGTTAAAAGTTTTCAGCTTTTGACCCAAGCTTTTTACATATAAATTGTTTTGGAAGCCCTCCGACCGGGGTATGCAGATTTATTTTTGTAAATTTTCTGACATTAATTGAATTTAAAATTTAATTATTTATTATTCGGCATCCTAGTACTACAAGTTAAAAACTTGTTATATAATGTGCTAGTCACGAAGGAGTATTAAAGATATAAAAAAAAAAACATTGAGCCACCAAGCCACAAGAGCAAACAAAAAAATTGCGAATTATTGAGCTTAATACCGCCGAACTTTGGCATTGCCCAATAAACTAAACACAATCTTTTCAAAAAAAAACATAAATCTAAAATGTCGATCGCGAATTCTTAATGGTGGTTCAATACGACATTCCTTTTGGTTCTACCAATTTAAATAATTAATTGACCAATTCAGCCGGTGGAATGGTATAATGTGTGTGTAGAATTTTCATGTTCAAAGCATATGTACTGGTTGAAATTTAAAAAAAATGTTGGTAAGTAATCGTATTACATTATGCACTTCAACGTTGTAGAAGTCTTCTTCCCTATTTTGCTATTTAGGGGAGCTTAACTTGTTACTTTCCCAGATACTGTTAGTTTTAATTTACAAACCAAATCAAAACAAATAATTTCCCTACATCCAAAATCTAAACGTACCAGGAAGTTCTGCGAAGACGATAGAAAACTAGCGTATAGTGCAGTTAGGATATTAAAAGCGACATTTCACCATCACTAAGTGTGACCCTCGCCTTCGATCACAACTATCGATATGGCGCTTTTTGAGAATCGATTTCAGCCTGGTTATAGTTCCGTTATTAGCAAAAAGAAGAGCAAAAGCCCGAAAACAAATTAATTATTTTCTAGAACTTGTAATATTTAACTCATTCAATATGGAGTTACGCAGCCGATCTAACAAGAAATTGGTGGACTTCCTTAAGAGTAAGTGCATGCCCAAAATGTTATGATTCTGATTTTAAGGGCTACACATTTGCGCAGGCGCAGGCGTTTACGAGTCCGGCATGGAAATCGAGGAGATGCGCGAATTGGCCAGAGTCATGGAGAACTCGAACACGGATGACCAGGATCTGGAAAGGGCTTTACAGGTGGGATAAGCACAGTTGAAACATCAGTTAATCTCTCTCTAATCCATCGATTTCCGCAGGAGAGTGAGTTGGAGTTTTTGTCCGCGCAACCAAGTGCCTTGCACAACTCCACGATGATCATGTCGCCGCAAGTGCCCAGAAGAAATTCCTCAAGTTTGGACAGTCCGCCCAGCAAGCCCGTCCGCTTGACCATTCGGGCCTTGGTGCATCATGCCATGGACTGGAGTCCCACGGCCGAAGAGCGACTTCCGGCTCGAAAGCGAAGAGCTGGCGACCACATCCAGGACATCGAACAGGATGGCAAGCGCTTTAGACCACCAGTGATCGGTGATGGCCATGAGGAGGATCAGCAGCAGAACCACAATCCCGATGCCACGCCCGTTTCGCCCGGCCCCGACTTAGATTCGGGTGTCAGCTGGGAGGAGGAGGTGTCGCTCTCCAGCGTTAGCGATGCCACATCCACATCCATGCCCTCCATTGGCGAAATGCCCGATCGTCACTTGATCAGCACCAGCAGCGCTGCAGTCTCCGATTTCTCAGATGTTAACGAGCATAGCCACGATTAGCTCAATATTTTGTGAGTGCCAGACTTTTCGTTAACCGAAAGCAGCACCACAATTTCGGAAAAATTACGCATTCATTAAAGCTTTAAATAATGTCAATCGCCGAATATCGAATATGTAACCTGTTACCTGTTATAATTTTCAGTTTGCCTTCAGAGAACAGCACGATATAAATTTAGTGTCCTAAATAAATGTACAACTCTTATTTTTGTGCCTTAGAATAAAAACGCATTCATTATATCTAGCTTTAAAAACTGTTTTTAATTTTCAGTTTGCCTTCACAGAACAATACGATAAAAATATAATTTATTTTTTATTTAAAATACAACAAACTTCTTAACTCAAATTTTTGTGACAGATTAAACTCCTATAATTAAAAAAATTTCGCAACCCTTATAGTTTATAAACTTTTAAACTAAACATTATTGCGACTTAAAAGTGCAATTTTCAGTCAGTTTCTTATAAAAAGGTTTGGGATACCGGTAACTTTTAAGATTTTATGAACTAAAAAAAATGAAATAAAAAAATGGTATGTTATCTGTTATCCCAACTGTTTCCCAGGGATGGGCTTTGTGGGAAGAGACCCTATTCAAGGTAATTGATTAAAGATATTTGTCGGAAAATAAGTTTCCCGGAGCACCAACTACTTGGAAAGAGTGAAGAAATATTTCAAATTACCGCAAGGGTATTCATAACAGAAAAACCATCAACAAGATCACGTGGTCCTGTTTAAAAAAGGGTCACACTGACAAACAGTGCGTACACACTTATTTCATTTTATTATATTTTCTTTCACAGCGCTTTTCGCAGCTTCGCAGTCATTAAAAAATCATTATATTCAGTTAATATGTAAGGAAAACTAGAACTCAGGTGGAAAAGTTTTAAAATAAAATGTTCCTACATTACAGGTCCCTTAAACGTTTTGTAAAACACATTGTTGGCGATGATGACGAATTTGAAGAAACTTTGTAAGTCTGCATTGCATTCATTGCTATATACATAATAAATATATACATATGTATATATATGTATATGTGTAGTAAATGTAAACTTTACTAATCCTTATTTATAGAAACAGTGAACAAGAGAAAAATGAAAATTCAAACAAGGAAAAGTGAGTATTTTGGCTTGGAATGCAATGCGATCATTTTGTGTAACAAATCCGATCTTCCAGGATCGATATGGATGGTTCCAATTGCATAACAAATGTCACCCAAACAGCACGAGGACCGTAAGTTGTATTTTGAATCTTGTGGAGTTTCCCTTATTAAATAACTGGTATTTAATTGCAGTCCGATATTAGTATTGGGAAAAGCAGCAGCAGTGTATACAGTTCGCGCACGACTTACGCAACCATATTCATTGGCGTTTCCCAATCGTGGGGCATATTTTCCTCCACAGGAATCCATGGGAGTACGTATTTCCAAACGAAGCAGGAGCCATATGGGATTCGTAAATGCAGTCCAACCAGCAACCGTGGCTCCGACTGTAGCTCCATCCGCTCAACTGGCCAAGCCACTGGATGTCACCGCCTACTTCCACCAACTGTCTGCTGATCTCATCCAGCAACGCGTCTGCCAGGAGCCTTTCTTAGCCCTGTGCAAACGCATAGATAGCTTGGTGGCCCAATCTTTAAACTAATCCAAACGGCTCAAATTGAATAAGGAAATTACAAAGTAATCACAAAATTAGATGGTAAAATTTCTGTATAATCAAAAAAAATTCGAAAATGTATATTCAAATAAATAAACTTAAGATGTAGTTATGTAGTTTATATTAAATAACTATACATAAAAAAAGTCAAGCTATTTTGTTAAAAAATTATAATAAATGGGATAAGTACAAATACTTAATATGTATACTATTTAAAAAAAAAATCATTTCGGTTTTTTATAAAATTTACAATGAACATAGAACATAGATATGCGCCCGCCTACCGCTAAACTTTTGAATAAATCAAAAAAATCCAAAAGAATATATTAGTTGAGTTAACTACATCTGAATAAATATGAACTATGTATACTATTTTTTAGAAACTAGCATTTGGTTTTGATTGACATCTAAAATGTATACATAACTAATATATACACTCAGTTGTATATTTTCGGAATAAAACCATAAATAAGCCAACACAAATGCGTATATTAAATTCAATTTAAAATCAATATAAAATATAAAAACAAATGCGAAACAAGGGAACAGCTTAATGACCACATTGTTCGTTGTCCAATTCGGTGCAATTGCAATAGTTGACATCAAGAGCGATATCGGAGCCCAGATCGTCCTCGCCAATAGCCACACAACGCACATTACAGGGATATTTCTGTGGGAATCACATGACTAAGATGGTTTTTAGAAAAAAAAAAAAAGTGTTTCGAACCCACCACCACGACCAGCGGATGCCCTTCCTCGTCTGTGAGTGCCACATTATCGCAATCATCATTCTGCCGATGAAGTATGAACTTGGCCATACAACAGAGCACGATCTACGAAATTGGGACTATGTATTTAAAAAATATATGCTTGGAGTACACGTATCTATGGTATATCCCCATTAAATTGAAATTTGATATCTTGAAAAAAAGATTTTTGGCAGATACCGATCTTAAGTAGGAATATTGGGTATTGCAGCGCATAAATAATATGAATAAATAAATATATTTTAATATAATAATAAATATAAAAACCAAAATCACGTTGTTCGATTTGAAAATCATTAAAATCGTATTTCCTAAATAGTAAAATAGCACATTGATATGCCTTCTTCTCTGACTGACTGACTTTTGTCTGAAATTAATAATACCCCCTTCAAGGGTGTAAATTACTCACCAGGAACTTCAGGGCCAGGACCCATAGCGCCAGCAGGACGTAGAAGAGGCTCCACACGGCATCGACGAACGCCGGCAGACATCCGTTCGCATGGATGGCGTCCACGGTGAGGGCGGGAAAGGGCTGCCTGGTGTCGCCTCCAATGGACTGCCCCTCGCCGGGCAGAAAGTTGGTGGAGCAGCTATCGCATGATCGCCTGCAGCAGGCGTACGGGGCGAGGACTGTGGACGAGCAGTTGTCCTCCAGCCGCGGCATCCAGTCGGCGGTCATCCAATCCCTGTAGCCATGCACACCGCAGCACTCCTTGCGCCACTGCAGTCCATCCCACAGGAGCTTCCACTCCGGACACGAGTAGTACATGTCGATGCCGCGACTCAGTGAGCTTTCCGCCGCGTTCTCCAGCACATCGATGCCCCGGTAGAGGCTCCAGATGCACACGAAGCCGGAGGCAATGATTACGCAGGAGTAGAAGCCCCACATGGACAGCAGAAGGCGAACGTTGGGCGTGCAGCGCCGCCTCCAGATCCGCCGCCACATGGCGATGCTGCAGAGGAAGGTGACCAGCAGCTGGGCCCCAAACACGTAGATCGCCGACAGGTAGCCGCTGACCAGGCGGCACTCGATCTCCGACAGATAGCCGGTGAACAGGGCGTGGTAGTAGGCGGTTGCCGCTAGGATCAGTAGTCCGATCACGGCCTCGGTTACCAGCAGTAGGTTCACGTACAAGGAGGCTCGGCGGAAGGGCTGGCGCATTTGGTCATCCTCGTCAGCATCGGTCGAAAGTTTGGCTTGTCGGCGAGGTTTCAGCTCTAAACTCGAATTTCATTTGGATTGACGCTTATTGCTAAGATTGCTCCATACATGTCCGCACCGTCTACAGTACACAGATAACAAAATTGATACTCGTTTCGTCGAAATTCCTTATCAATTGGTCTGGATCACCTCGATATTTTCTAATAAAAAAGAATGGTTAACAATTATTGTTTTTGAATAGCAATTTTACTGTTTTTAATGGTAACAAGAAAGAAAGCAAATTCCGAAAAGCCGAAGCTTAAATCTTAAAATCTTTCGATTTTTATGCGTATTTGCTTAAAAACATTAAATGATTTTCCTCTGCGTTATTCGATCGTTCCTATGCCAGCGATATGCTATCGTTTTCAGATTTCAATGAAATTAAAGCCCTAGTTTTGAAATGATAATCTATAACTTTATCTCGAAGTAAATTAAATTAAATTAAATGAGAACGAAGTAAGAAATAGCAAGGTTTGAACTTTTTTCATTTATTTTATTTATTTTTTCCGATTGTTCTAATAAAAGCTGTATGATACGGTCGACCAAGTTTAACAAAATGATTATCGTTTTATTTTATTAAAATACCTCTTAGAACAACGAAGTCATGAAATAATATAATTTGAATAATAATTCTCTAAGCTCAAGAGAACAAAATTATTAAAATTGTTTTTTTTTCTGATTGCAAGGTATTAATTAAACAACAGTAGTTCACAGATTTCATTTTATAACTTTGTAATTGAATCTAAACTCTAAGCAGTTTCAAATTCGAAAGTTTTTTATTTAAATATTTTCAAATACCATAGTTCCTTGCTTTAAGATAAGCAGATTTTTAACCACTAGAGATAGAACAGAACTTTTCATTTTTTTAGATCGTTTTATTTGGATCGCAAGTAATAAATGTATGTAATAAGAATTCAGTTTAAAACTTTTCAATTAATGTAAAAAGTAGAGAGTTCATCAGTTAATGTGGTAATCAGTGGTAATCAGTTCATAGATTCTTCAGTCTTTCGCCAATCGGTGGACAATGGATTCTATTACCTCGCGAAGCTGAACTTGAGCACACCGGCTGAATAGTCCATATTGGGTCCGATCTGCTTGGAATCGATCTTGACCAGCTTTATGTTGTCCAGGCAGCGCGGAGTGTGAACAATTTCTGGACTGATGTCGCTATGCCGGATCCACAGCTCCAGGGGCTGAGTGCGCCACCTTTGCTTGGCCAGAATGGCAATGCAGCTCCGGACGAAGGACTCGCCATGACACCGAGATCGGGTGACATCGAGGACCCTCAGCTGGCGGCAATTGATCACGAACTCCAGAAGGCCCAAAGGACTCTCCAGCTGATAGCCACACAAGTGGAGTTCGCTCAGCTCACGCAGTTGATGGGCCAGTTGTCGCAGCGCCTGATCCTCCAGGCACTGCAGCTGACCACCATTCTCTTCCTCCTCCAGCTGGCCATGGAGCTCCAATCTTGTCAGCTGTCTCAGGTTACCCAGCTCCCGGAAAAACCGCGCATAATCATGCAGTACGCCACTGAAGCGAAATGCCTCTATGAGCCGGACCGATCCTGGCGTGCTGCTGGGTCGGGCTATACGCGACAGGACATCGAAGACAAAGTTCTTGGAGTATATCGACAGCTTTTGAAGGCGTGGCAGGCGCAGCAGTTGCTGCGTAATATCACTCTCCATACACAAATGGTAATCGGCAATCTTAATGTGCTCCAATGTGGGACAGAGTTGCAGATCTGCGAGATCGCAGCAGTTCACTTCGTCGCAGTCCTCCATAATATCGAATTTGCGTAGCCGCAGCTGTCGGAAGAGATCCCTGAAGTGCTGAGACTCCAGAAACTGGCAATCATCCAAACAGAGTTCGCTCAGGTGCTCCAAATCGCACAGATACTTCCCGGTGATTTGGCAGCCACGCAACTTGAGCCTCCGCAAATGGGGGAACACCCGGCGCAGCAGTCGCACATCCTCGTCCACGAAGCGTACGCGTCCACGTCGATTGCCATCGCCCAGCCACTCCAGGGAATGGATGCCCGCCAACGGGTGGGAGCTCAGCACCCGCAATCTCCGGACATCAAGCTGGTGGCAACTCAAGCGCTCCATGTGCGGTGCCAAGGCCAGGATGAAGGACAGGAAGTGCCGGGAACTGGTCACCGATCGCCGGAACATCTCGTCCTGCAGGACAACAGTGCGCACCCGGGTCCGCCAGAGCATCTGCACTATGCTCTCCAGTCGCCTGTTCAACCTGCCGATCTCGTACTGCTGGTACACATTCAGCTGGCGGACGATCAAAGCCAGCACATCGTCGTTCAGTTGCAGCAGGGAAGCTGCCGTGGGTGCTGCATAAAGGATAATGGTCTTAGTTCAAGGTTATATTCGCTTTATTCTTTGCAAATTTTCTTACCTGTATCGGTTGTCATCATCGGTGGTGTGTTCTCGATCGTGGTGTTGGAAATACTAACCAATGTGCGACGTTGCCGCGGCCAGATGATGGCTACCTAGGCCGAAGGTCATTTAGGGGTGGATTTCCACGCAAATCGGGCGGAATTCGCGCTACCTAAATTCCTTATCCTTATAGAGATGGTCAGCCGAAACGATAGTTTTAAGGATCTATCAGCTGTCTAGATCAGTTTATATTGCACATCTACTTTAATATGAAAACTTTTATAAGTATGACTGAGTATGTTTTTTTTTTCCTAAGCGTACTATAATTTTGTATGAACAAAAATAGCTTTTTAAGATATTTTTTATAATAAAAAAAATCGTTCTCTTATTAGCTCATATGTTAAAATTATTCAGTGTGTACAAGGGTACACAAAATATCCTTCCTATAATCATAAATATATATTTCTATAAAATCTAAAGATTTGAATAGATTTTCAATCTTGATCATCGATGGAAAATATGACGACTAAAAATTTTGTTTTCGTAAATTGGTTTGAAAAGGAAAACCGCAAAAAATTTGTATGCAGCCTTTGCAATCAAATTCTAAAGTAAAATAGATTGTTCTTTATAAAACAAAGAAAACGTTTTTTCTACAAATATCATCCACCAGCTGAAAAGGACATTCAAATATTTCGCTCAAAACCAGTTTTTATGCTTATGCTGCGCGTTTTTTGCTGCTCATTTATTTGTTTTTGTTTAGTGCTTACTACTTCATCAATTTTAATTACATTTTACTCGTAACTTGTACAATATATACTATATATAATATACATATATATATATATATATATATTTATATGCATTTCATTTGTTGTCCAATTTCTGTCGTATAGGCATATATTTTAGGTATATATAGTGTTGTATTGTATCTGCTTTATAGTACATTATTGTTTCTATTTAGTATTGTTACTGTCTGTTGCTTTTAATGTTTACGTTAATTGGGGCGTTCCAAGCGTTTTCTTCAGCTTCTGTTCATTTCTCCTCGATTTCGCTGCGATTAGGAAACATTTTCAGCGTTCTCCCAGCGAACAATTTATAATTAAGGTTAATGGGTGCGTGTCTGTCTGTCTGTCTGTCTGTCAGGTGAGTGTGGGTATAAGTTACTACTATTCTCACGTTATGCGTTGTGCTACACAACTTAGAAATAAACTATTTCGTTTTGTTAATATTGCAACACAAGAGAATTTATCCTTGGAGTCGTACTTAAAATTGCCTTTCGCATACTACACATACATATCCGCTATATATTTGTTAATATTCGTACAATAATATATATCTCTATATGTGTTTTATATACTGCGCTCTATACACATCACCAAAAATCCGAAAAAACACCGAAAACTAACACGGATAATCAACTACATAATTATAGACGTATGATAGTGTTTGCGACTGTGTGTTTCCAAAATCAAGAGTTCTCATATATGTATAATGTGTGTTAAAGCAAAATACTTGCACTTGTTGAATGTTTCAATGATGATTTTCTTTTTACAATTTTTAATTGTTCCCTGCATTCTTAGTGTATTTAAAACGTTCACTTTGCTGCCAATAAATGTAGTGTAAATAAATTAGATTAAGTTAAATAAAACCAAGTCGTGTCTTCAAATGGTCAAACAAACCGTTTTACATTTTCCGTTTATTCGTGTACAGTTACAGTTTGTTAAATTATATTTAAATCGTATTTTAATCATTTAATTCATGACAATTAAATGTGTAAAATGTTGCATTTAAAAGGAAGTATAATGTGTTGGTTTTGTGTTCGTCTGTCAGTGTGTGTGGTGTTTCCTCTTTAAATTATTAAACGTTGACTCGTGTTTAATATATTGGTATTTGTTTTTTTTTTAGATTTTAAGTTTTTTTTTTTTTTTGTAAAATTTAAAGCAGATATGTTGTTGCTTGTGGCGCTTGGGGCGTTCTCGTTAATGGTTTCTCTTTCATTTATTTCGTTACGACTTTAACTTGATCTTAGTGTTTGTTGTTTTCAACATAAGCACAGTTAAGGGTTATAATTAATTTTAGAGTTGTGCCTAGTCGTATATATATATATATATGGGTTGTTGTTGTTGTTTGTTAACTTTAATAGTGGGGTAATAACTTGTTGTTATAGGTTTAGTATTCATATATCATAATCATAATTGTAATTGTAATCATAATGATTGGGCGACAACGCCCAACTAAAAACTACTCGCTGGCCGACGCTGCGATGCGTCCCACTTTATCATTATCATCAATTTTGCGATCCACGTTCTCAATTATTACTTTTAGTAGTTCAACTAACATTAAATATAATAATTCTTGTTTAATCCCTTCTCATTATCTCGTTAGTTGTGGCTGCTGTTATGCTGCTGCTGCTTCTTTTTCCGCTGTCATATAATAATATATATATATATATATATCTCATAATCAAAATCACAGCCCCACAGCAGGGACTTGACATTGTAAACTGGGGGTTAAGGACTACACTTGGCCAATATATGTGAAGGTGTACGCGTGTTTTTTTGCTCGTTTTCAATGATCCTCCTTGGAAAATGCACAAAATAATACAATCGTGATAATAATTTTCGATAGATTTCCAAGGGTCTTGTTGCGTGTTATTTACAAACTATAAAGTATATATAATATTATAATCGTATGCCTATGCATATCTGCATATGTTTATGTATGATGAGGATGCTTTCTATGAATGTCGCTCCGTATGGGTATAATAATCATAACTTAGTCCAAAACACAATAAAAAATACAAGATGATGCGCTTTCGCTGGTTACGCCCACCAAAACCCCTTCTTTGAAGTGTCTAGCGAGAAGAGTGGCTGGGTCGAACAGTCCTCGCGATCGATGGCAGCACTGAGCACAGCTAAATGACAATCGGATCAATCACTTGAGAACCTATCGATCGACCCACCCAAAATCACGCGCCGCCTGGCACACATTTCAGAAATGTAGAAAACACGTGAATAAAATTAGACGCTAAGCGCCTAAGCATTAAAGATACACAAGGGAGAGAGAACAAACTATGAGATGATTCGTATTGCACGTTAAAGCTGGCGGCGGCAGACTAGTAGAGGAGCATTGACTTTGATTTGCTTGCGATTGATTGGCAACTGACAAAGATGGCTCATTGACGAGCCCGTATTGCATTTGGAAATACAGAGCGAAATCTGCTGTATTTGACTTAATAGGGTGTCTCGATTTTTAGGGGAACAAAAACGTTTACAAATTGGAATTTCTTCTCTAGGATTTTAAAAGTCTAAAAAAATAAATCAAGAATAAAAGCATTGTCAAAATGTTGATAAAAATACAGGGATGCCACAGAAGTCTTGAAAGAAAAGTCCACATTGTCACCTTGTCTTTTGTTTTGAATGTTAAGGCATTTCCTTGGCATCCCGTATTAAATATTTTTCGTTAACTGTTTAAAAAGCGATATTGCACTTGCACTTACTGAGATAAAATGGTTAGACTGTGTTTGCCCAATAAAAATCGACACACCCTACAAATCGAAAACCCCAACATACCACTCACTGTCTCGTGTGGAGCCACAGATCTGCGTAACCAGCGCGCTGCTAAAACTATTGTACATACAACTAGCTGCGTATATGGGGTGGTGTGCTTGTTATGTTGTGTGTTGTGTGTGTCCTATTTAGAGATGTTGCATCAGCTCGGCTCACTAGATCACTAGCTCACTAGATCACTAGATCACTAGCCCACGGGCTCACTGGTGGCACGTTGGCACTGTTGCACGGTGGCCTCACCACGCCGCTTGCGTCGACGCAGTGGCCGCTGTGGCGGCTATGGAGGTGCTGGTCGTGCTGCTGGAGTGGGCTGTGGTGGGAGTGTAGCCGTGCAGGAGGGGCTACTGTTAGTAAACAACCGGGTGCTGTTCCACGTTCGCTGGCAGATGCTGCAACTGGATGGCGGCACGTGCCAGAGCACTGGGATCGCTGATCAGGGCGATGGGCGGCGGCTGTTGTTGCTGCTGTGGCGGCGGTGCCTGTGGATGGCCCTGTTGTTGCTGCTGCTGGTGGTGCTGCTGCTGCTGCTGGTGTTGTTGCTGCTGCTGCTGTTGCTGCTGCTGCTGCTGTTGTTGCTGACGATGCTGCTCCTGCTGATGATGGTGCGCCGCCTGCTGGATGGACAACTGCAGCAATTGCTGCTGCTGCTGCAGCTGCTGTTGCTGCTGCTGGTGGGCGGCCACTGCCGCCTGCTGCTGATGCTGGGCGGCCACCTGCTGCTGGTGTTGCTGGTGGGCGGCAGCCGCCTGTTGCTGGGCTGCTTGCTGCTGCGCAGCAGCCGCTGCAGCGGCCTGCTGCTGGGCAGCTGCTGCGGCCGCTGCCTGCTGCTTCTGCGACTGCTGCTGGGCGGCCGCGTTGTGCGAGATGAGCGTGGAGGTGACCAGGGGCACCAGGCCCGGTGTTAGCTGCACGGCACCGGCTCCACCCGCTGCGCCCGCTGTGATCTGCTGGATGGTGTGCATGGTGGTGGTCGCCGAGTGGTGGGGAACTGAAACGGTAGGAGGACCGGATGAGTTGGGCGACTTGGGCACGCGGAGACTCGCTTGCGCCAGCGCAGTCGTGTTTGCCGACTCACTTATGATCGGTTTCACTTCCTGCTTGACTTGCGTCAGCACGCCAGCCGGTATTTGCGGATGCGGATGCACGGGTGGTGGCGGCATCATAGCATCCGGGTGATTCATCTTCATGTGGCGCTTCAAATTGCCGCGCTCGACGAACGCCTTGCTGCACAGAGTGCACGCGTGCGGTTTCTCGCCCGAATGGGAGCGCATGTGCGAGACCAAGTGACCTGCGAAACGGACAATGGAAGCGACATGAAGATCTGATCGTCGGGGATCTTGAATTTCGAAAACGGTTCGGGTCAATTTTTGGGGGCTCGATCTCACAGTTCGCTGTCTGCATTCAAATTAGTTTCAAGAGGGGTTTGCGTCTGGTCAGAATTCTTTTTAAGTACTCAAAAACCCTTTTTAATTTAATTGTATAGTTAACTTGATGGTTTTAGTAGATGATTTTTGATTTTTTTTACATAGGTATACAAAATCTCTGAATCTGATCCAATGATTAAATTATTGTTATAGATAAGATAGATATGGATAAAAAATGTATTTTTATAATTGGCTTAAATAAGCCAATGGTGTTAAGAATAAGTTTTCTTCTCAAGTCAGCTACTAAACAATTGTATACAAGATAATGGCATTTTTGCTGAGATTTCACTTGCTACTGTTAAATGGTAAACAAAGGCTGTTAGTATTGAATAAACACACACAAAAAAGTATCGTTTGCCGCATCAAAAATAAACAATTTAAAAGATAACAAATGTTTTGTACTTTTCTGACTAGACGTGACACCCAAAACGATGTGAGAGCAATCCCCAAAACAGCAACTGGTGTGGGCAGGATGGGGGGATGATCAGGTTTCGGTTTCGGTTTCGGTTTCGGGTTCTTTGGATTGTGACTGCAGCTGGAGCTGGGGGCTGGGGGCTGGGACACTATGCTGACGCCACGCCACGCGTGCCTCCACTGGATGCATGCAACGCAGAGCAGCAATCAAAGAGCGCACTCACACACTCACCTTTGCAGATGAAGTTCTTGGGGCACTTCTCGCAGGCGAAGGGTCGCTCCATCTCCTGGCCCTTGGTGTGACTGCGCTGATGGAAGAGCAGGTTACCCTTGAGCGGGAACGACTTGCCGCACGTCTCGCAGGTGAAGGGACGGTCGCCGGTGTGGCACCGCGACATGTGATTGATCAGGTGCTCCTTGCGCGTGAACGGCTTGTTGCAGACATTGCAGCAGTGCGGATTGTCGCTTGAATGCTGGCGCATATGGTTGTTGAGATGCTCCTTTCGCGTGAACGTCTTCTGGCAGTACTCGCACTTGTGCGGCGAGTCGCCCGTGTGAAGGCGCACATGGTTCGTCAGGTGCTCCTTGCGCGTGAAGGTCTTCTTGCAATAGGAGCAGCGGTGCGGGGAGTCGCCCGTGTGCTGGCGCACATGGTTCGTCAGGTGCTCCTTGCGCGTGAACGTCTTAGTGCAATAGGTGCACTTGTGCGGCGACTCGCCTGTATGTTGCCGTACATGATTAACCATGTGATCTTTGCGCGTGAACGCTTTCGTGCAGTACGTGCACTTGAACGGTGTCTCACCCGTGTGCTGGCGTATGTGGTTGACCAGGTGCTCCTTGCGCGTGAACGTCTTCATGCAGTAGGAGCAGCGGTGCGGCGACTCTCCCGTGTGCTGGCGCACGTGGTTTAGCAAGTGCTCCTTGCGCGTAAACGTCTTGGAGCAAAAGTCGCACCGGTGCGGCGTCTCGCCTGCTTGCGTGGCAAATGAGTGTGTGTGTGTCGCGCGGATGGGACGAGAAAACGTTTAGAGATTAGTAATCATCGCCATGGAACTGGTGGGCGGTCGGTCATGGTATGGTCTAACTAGCTAGCTTAGCTAACTAGCTAGCTAGCTAACTAGCTGGATGCGGGTCACTGGACACCTGGCGTGGCTTGCTTCTGTCGACGGGTTCACTCACAGCCTCTGCGATTAATATGTCTATTACACAAATACTAGCAGATTTTAAAAAATATATATTTGCGGAAAGTAAGAGCTCTTTTATTAACCCCAAGCACTAACTATTGTTTCCCTTAATAGAATTATCAATACATTATCTTGATTTTGGCTTATTTTATTTTCAACTAGAAATGGCAGCTATATTAAGTAGCCGAAGCGAAATTAGCCAAATGCTATAAGATGGATATAGTCCCCTAAAAGACACCTGGTATTTAAAAAGAATACTTTCACTTTAATTATTCAAACAAAACTTTAATTTTAAATTTTGTATATTAAGTTAATGCCGTCCTATCAACTCTGTACTTTCTGAAACTAGTTTTTTATGTACCTGAACATGATATATGCATTGCTTATCAAGTGAATTAAACGTAAAGGGATTAGGTCTTATCATAGTTATTATAAGTATCAATCAATTTTCTTTAATATTGACATATTTTAGCCCAAAATATAAATAGGCTTTAATAAAAAACTAACTAAATACCAGGCTGATCTTCAAAAGAACCGTGGATTCCCAACCCCCAATCCTAGCGAGAGTTCGTTATCGCTGCTCTTGCAGCCATTGCGCCGCCAAGTGTCTGTGTAAACGAGAATTTTCATGTGTTGTGGACTGTAGTAGCTGGAAGGAATTATTAGCGGGGAACTGGATCTGGATCTGAATCAGGATCTAAATCTTGTTCTGTATCGGGATCAGGATCGGGGATGATCGGGCTTACGATTCGTTTTGTCTCTTTACCTGTATGCCAGAGTATGTGATTGGTGAAGTGCTCCTTGCGGCTAAAGCTCTTGCCGCAGATCTCGCAACGGAACGGCGTCTCGTTGGTGTGGGAGCGCATGTGGTTGGCTAGGTGCTCCTTGCGCGTGTATTTCTTGCCGCAGACATCGCACTGGTGTGGCGTTTGACCTGCATTTTGGAGAGGGAAGAGGGTAGCAGAACAGAACGGAATTGTTGTATAGAGGGAATGGCGTTTGATCTCGTTCGACAAGACAAAATCGCATTCGCATTAGCGCAAGCATTTTCTTTTTTCTCATACATATACATATACACATACATATACGTTGTATAGCTCGCACTTTGCAGCTATTTCCCCAAAAGGATCGATGCGAAACGTTTGGAGAAATAGTGGCGAATCGAGACTGAGAAAAAACAAAATTTCAGATCCCCCAACCCATCCGCGCGCACCGTTGTGTTTTTTTTTTTTTTATTTTGTTTGGTGGTGATTGGGTGGTTGCGTGGATGGGTGGGTTTTGTATTTAAATCTTTCTTTTCAATTTGGTAAATTTTTTTTTTTTTTTTTTTTTGCTGTTTGGTGTGAAACTGGCCGTGGCTTGCGTTGTTGTGGTTTCGAACGAACGAAGCGAACGGAGGCTGCTGGCTCGGGCATATGGACGTGGGCGTGGTGGTGGTGTCAGATGTGGTGTGGATTGTATGTGGTGTGGATGTTCATTGGATGTGTGTTTTGTTTTGTGTGTGCCTGTCAACTCTGCTTCGACTCAATGCTGGTCTTCAGGATGCTTTTATTTTTTTTTTTTTTTTTTTTTTTTTTTTTGGTGGTGGAACGTGCAGTCCCGGAAGAAAGTTTCGCCAAAGAGCTAAAGGGTACTGATAGATCCCTACATAGCAGATAATTATGCAGGTGAGCTGGGATGTGTGAGTGTGTGTGTGTATGGTGTGTGGCATGTCTTGTGTTGTTGTGTGTGTTCCAATTGCTTTGTGTGATTGAATGTGTTTAATGTCGCAGTTACACAGAGACGTTGGCAATCGACAAGCAGCAACAACGAACTTTTTCATTACTTTCTTGACATTTCTTTGCTTTTTGGGCACCCTGTTCGACAGCAGAGAGAGCGTAGACAAAGTTACACAGGCATTAAATATCGAATCGATCGGGAGTGAAGGATTGGACATGGACTTGGACTTGGACGTGGACGTGGTCGTGGACGTGGAATAGTGGAGTGGAGCGAGCACTGGATGAAGTGTTTGGATTGGTGGTGCATGTGAGCATGATTTAGATTTGGTGAAGCTGGGGATGTGTGATGCAGAGATCATGGTTGGGGGGAAATGGAGCGGTATGAGCGAGTGAGCGTGTTTTCTTTTGATTTTGTAGCGGGATTAGGCGCGAAGCGATCTCCAATTCTCTGGAGATTTGCTCGCATTAAGCGTTAGTTGACACAGAGAAAAAAAACCGAACAATAAGGCTTTAGATCGTTCCTCAAACTCTAAAGATTAAAAAACAATAACTAAGGTGCCGTAAACTTAGCAACAAACATTCTTTTCAAACATATCCCTTGCTTTAATAAATAAATACAATGCTAGTTTCAGCTCTGAAAAAAGGTTCTAAAGTTCAAACCATTTCATAAAGTTGTAATTATAGTAAAAAATTATTTTTCAGACATTGGTATTAATTAATGTGAATGTTTATGTTTTGAATGAAACAAAATGTAACTTTTAAGAGTTGGTATGTTTCGAGTGATTCCCAGATAAACGAGATACTTTTGCAAGGACAAGTACCAATTTAAGGTAATAGTTTTTCTCTCTGTGTAAGTACAGTGGGTGGGACTGTGGGAGTTGGCGGTTAGAAGAAGCACAAGCGATGAGCGAGATAGAAGAGTGTGTGAGAGAGAGTGGAAGGAAGAAGACGTAGGACGCACGATGAAGTTTATATAAATTTTTTGCGGTGCTTGTTGTCAATTCTTTTTTTTTTTTTTTTTTTTTTCTATTTTTTGATTGGTTTTTGGTTTGGTTGGTTGAATTTTTTGATTTTGGTTCTTGGTTGGTGTGATGTGGTGATGGCTGTTGTTGTTCTTGTACTCTATATTTGGATATAATTTGGTCTGACTTGGAGTTGGTCTTGGAGTTTTTGGTTCTGAGTTGGTTCTGAGAGATTCTGATCTGTCTATTTGTTTGTGGCGCTCGCCGCTCGCATTGTCCGCCCCCACCAATCAATCACACTCACCAGTGTGCCACATGTAGTGGTTAACATAGTGTTCCTTGCGCGTAAAGGACTTCTTACAAATATCGCAACGATGTGGCGTCTCACCCGTGTGTTTGCGCACATGGTTGACCATGTGCTCCTTGCGCGTGAACGTCTTGGCGCAGTACTGGCAACGGAAGGGCGTTTCGCCCGTGTGCGAGCGGAAGTGATTGTCCAGATGCTCTTTGCGGGCAAAGGTCTTTTGGCAAATGGTGCAGGCGAACGGTTTGTCCGTCGAGTGCCGTTTCATGTGCCGCTCCAGGCTCGTATTGTTCGCGAACACATTGAAGCACACGATGCAGGTGAACATGGGCCCGCCAATGTGGATCTTGCCGTGGCGCGTCAGATCCTGCGACGTGGTGAACCCCTGGCCGCACACCTGGCACATGAACGGCTTCCGTTCGCTGTGGTAGCGCCGGTGCACGATCAACTGGTACCGGAACTGGAACATCTTGCCGCAGATGTCGCAGACGTGCGTCCCCGTCGCAATGGGCGTCCCGTCCGGCGCCAGCGCCACGTTCTGCCCGCCGCCGCCATTGCCGCTGCCGTCCACGCCATGAATGCCGCCCTCCATTTTAGGCAAAAGCAACTCACCCGCCGTGGTCGTGGTGCCCCCACTGGTGGTGCTCCCGCCGCTGCTCGTCGAGCTGCTGGTCGTCGTCACCGTCACCTGCTGGCCCCCATTGCCGCTGGTGGCCGGCGGTAGTCCTCCTCCCCCGCCCGCCGCCGAGGCGGCTGCCGCGACGGCCGCTGCCGCATTCGCCGAGGCCATTACCGCTGCAACGGCGGCGTTGTTTGTGGACGCTGCTGCTGCGGCTGCCGCCGCACTCGCCGCATGACTGTGCACCTGCGGCGGCAGCGGCGGCGGTGGTGGCAACTGTCCGCCGTGGGCCGCCGCCAACTGATGATTGACCACATCGCCGTGGATCTTGCCAAAGACCTCGTGGTAGGTGAAGAGCTGCGAAATGTCCTCGATGTTCACCTTGTACATTTCAATGCCGTGCGGCGGCTTGCCATCCTCTTTGTGCTCCGATTTGGGGAGATGCGGTGGACCGCCCAAGGTGATTGTCGTCCCACCAGTGGTCACTACAGGGGCTACTACCGATGGCACCGAGCTAGCAGCGCTCACGTGCTGCATTCTTGTGTCCAGATCCGGGCTATCGTTGTGGCGTTGCTTTTTCCCTGATTTCTATATGTCTTATTAATGTTGTTGTTGTTGTTGTGTTGTTTTGGGAATTATTGGTTTGTTGTTGGGGTTCTTGTTGTTGCTGTTGTTGTTGTTGCTGCTGTTCTTGGTTGTAATTCATGTGTTGCTGTGGAGCGCCTACATATTGCTGTTGTTGCTGCTGTCGACTGCTTTCGCTGAGCGTGGCTACAACAAACAAAAAATGCAAGTGGAAGGTGGAGAGGTGGTGTCACTTAATCTCTGGCCGCTTAGGTATTTTTCTTGGTCTTTTCTTTCGACGCTGACGGGGGACAATTACCATGAAATTGCTGCTGTTGCTGTTGCTCCTGTGGGGATGGTGGTGGTGGTGGTTGTGGTGTTGCTACTGTAACAGTTGATCCGTGTGAGTGTGTGATTGGCGCACAGCCAATTTCTGTCGTTCACCTGGAAAATGGATAAAATTTATAGAAATCAAATCTATTGGATTAAGGAAAAGTGTATGTGTAAAATGATTTAGATAATGGATGATATTATTAAGCATATTTGAACATTTTTTTCTTCATTCTTATTAGTAACTATTCCTTTTTATCGTTAAATTAAAGGTTAATATGAGAAAGAAGTCTTATGTTCATAAATCAAATCAAACTTATGTTATTAGGCATTTTTTGAAATTTTTGTTCGTTCTTTTCGAAGTGTTCAGCTTCTAACAAATAAAGAAAAACAACAAAGGACATCGAACCAATAAAAAGTCATACACCTTCTTTATAAAAGCAGTTAAAATTAATGGTAGTTTATTATTAATAACTAATGAATATAACTAATTAGGTTCTTACAAAATCCCTTATAATCGATTTAATTTTCGATTTCAATTTTAAAAACTAAACAAAATCTATTTCGGTCCTAATATTTTAGTCCATGCTATAAGATTTAGTCAATGGCTTTAAATCATTCCAAAATAAGCTTGTTAAAATAATATAAAACTGCTTATTATAACCTACACTGCATACCTTAAGGCGTTTGCCCCGCCAAAACGTCCTTAAAAATCAAATTTTGCTCTGACCAACAATCGGACAAAAGGTAACCTACGGCGGGGGTGTTGGTCACACGACGGCATGTTGTTGGGATTCTGCTGCTGAAGGACATAAAGGATTTGCAGCAAGATGTGCGACCGTTAACCCTTTAACAATGCAAATGCCATCTGCATGTGTGTACACACATTACACAAGTACAGTTGAGCCCTAACACACAAACACACACTCGCAAACAATTATCACCCAGGACTAATCTTCGTAAAAAGATGTTGGGAAGCTCTTCGTTTTATTGATTTTGCTGCTGGGCATTAAAAGTGATATAAATTGCCCATTAGCGGACCACAGGACCCACACCAACACACACCCACATTGCTATGTCTTCATCAGCAGAAGCAGAAGAGCCAAAACCAGAGTGAGCACAATGAAATAACTTTATATAAATTGTAAATGGCAAAAGGCAGGAAGAGGAATGACAAGAGACACAAAAAAAGGGAGTGGAGATTGGATTTTGAGGCTGGTAAACTGAGGGAGGGGCAGGATCCAGGATTTAGATATCCAATCAGAGTATGCAAGCAGGGAGAGAGAGAGAAAGAGCGCACCGAGAAAAGGGGGTAGAGTGGGGGCCGGGGGATGTAATGTAAATATCAAGAAGTACAAATCGATTAAAGACAACGCGTAAGTGTGTGCGTGTGTTGGAAAAACCTAGCTGCGAATTAAAGATGGATGAGAGAGTAAGAGAGAGGGGGAGAAAGGAAAAGCCCGCGCATGAGCGGGAGAGGAGGGGAGTGTTTGCATAGGTCCTGGTTTTGTCCCTTTTTGCTAAGCGCTTTACAGTTACAGCTTACAGCTTACAGGCTAAGGAAAAGGAGGCGAGAGAAGAGGGCTCTCTCACACTCTCTTGTTTTTCTGGAGCAAATAATTCAGCAAACATCGAGAAGAGCGCAGAACGGGAGAAAGGACACCAAAAAAGGGCGCCACTTTTAATGTGGTGAGGTAGGAAAATAGAATAGGATATGTGTGTGCAAATGCATACATCTTCCACACGCACAAGTGTGTGTGCAGGGCCAAGCCCGGGCAGAAAAACAAGAAAAAGTGGGCGGGTTTCAGGCATGTAAAGTGCTGATGAAGCCAAGAACAAAACACAAGACAAATGGTCCAATCTGCAAACGGGGTGGACCTCCCATCCTCCCCCTATAAATGTAACTGTAACTCAAGCTTAGCTATAAAACGAATTAATCAATTGCAAACCGCAAACCCGGGTCAAAAACCTTAGCACTTGGTTAAATGATCAATGTACATTTCTGTGATTTCTGGCCTTAAAAAATGAATATTTTATCAATTATATCAATTTAAGAACAGCCCGTCAAGCCACAGAATGTAAGCGTCCTTTTTAACTTTTTAGTTTAACTAATTTCTTAATTTAATTAAATTTAAGTCTTCGTCTTCTAAAAATTAAAATGGCATAAACACAGAATGGTTTATTAGATAGACACGTAAAATTAAAAAATACAATTTTTCCTCTTTTTCTTTTTTTAATTTTTTATATAACAAAAAAAAATTGAAATTTAGAATAATAAAAAATAAAGTTTTTGTGTTTGTTTTATTAGTTTTCTACCAACTGTAAGAAAAAAAACCCATACAATTTAATTTTTTAACATTTTTTTTTAATATTTCTAACAAAAACCGGAACAAAAACGTTCTAGCTAATACATATTTAACCTAAACATTAATATGCGTAATTAAAGTTTCCAAAGAATCAGAAACACCCTTTTTGTACAGAAAGGATTATAATTTTGAAAACGCAGTTTTTTTTAGCAGAAACAATTGACCATATGGCACAATAAAATATTCCGAAATGAATGGGGTTGAATAACCCCTTTGGGTGGTGAGCGACAAAGTCACCCTGTATTTTGATGTGAAAGCAATTGAAATCACTTACCTCATGTGGTTCTCTTTTTGGCCCGATTCTGCCTCTTTCTGGGGGGCTCGCCAGGAGCGGACTTAGAGTATATTTATATGGATATATGGACGTTCCTTTGGGGCCACCTGCAAGCAGAAATGAGAAAGGAGGCATGGCAACAATAATAACCAGTGAGCAACAGTTTGTTTGCGGTGTTTATGTTTACGCGAAAAGTACGAACGGCCGCGGTACAGTCTTCCCCTTTTCCTTTTCCCTTTGCTTCCAGTTTCAGATTCAGATTCAGTTTTAGTTTGGGTTTTGGTTCCACTTCCACGCACACACACACATGAATGGTGGATGTGGGAAGCAAATCAAGCGAAAATTTATTTGCAGTCAATATATGCAAAAGTCACAAACACATCTAAACTAAAGCTGCGTCTGCGTGGAAAGAAGAGCAAAAATGTTCTAACTCTAATTGGAAAGGCAAAGGAAATGGAATTGGGAACTGGAAGGGGCGGGGGCATTGCAAATTTTACATTTCCAACTATTCCCCATTCGTAGTGGTGCTAACAAATCAAATTAATTGTATCTATATCTAGAAGAGCTGTATGTGCGTGCATCTCCGCCAGTCTTTTCTGCTTTTCTTCTAGAATCTAGACGGGGGGCTCTTCTGCTTCTGCCGCTCCTCTTTCTCTCCCTGTCTTTGCTTTGCTTTCGGCTGCCAGCAGGGAAAAAAGTTGTATCTTTCTTGCTGTTCCGCCTCCTCCTCTTCTTTCCCTTGCCCATTGCTTTTCGTGCACTTTTGTACACGGCTTTGCTTTTTTTGTTCTCTTCCTCTCTCCCTCTCTCTCCTGCTCTCTTTGCCATACATTGTCTCTCATTATTCATTGAACCCCCAACCCCCTCGCCGACCAACAACAACGTTTTGCACGAACGACGCTACGTACAATTCCCAGCCGCCTAAAGCGGAAAACCAATAAAAACGAATTGAATCGCAAAGCGTAAGTACAAAATAAAGCGAGGCGAGACAAAAAATGAAAGCTGAGAGCGTAGCGAAGAGCGAGAGAGAGGAACGAGTACAGGCGGCGCGTCGATACAAGTTTTGCCTTTTGGCTCCCATTCTATATGCCGATCCGAAACTCGAGTTATAGTTATAATTATTGCCGCTGCCGCCGCTTTTTATTTTTAATTTTGTTTGGCTGTCGCTCAAATTTCGAGCGAGAGAGCGGTGAATTGGAAAGGAGAGAATGAGGAGGTGGATCGAGCTGGAGAGTCACATTTTCATTACAGCCAATTAGTGTGCATTTCATAATTGTTAAACAAAACCCACACCGACACACAATAGGAAAAGGCACAGGAGTCGTGAGTTTGGTTCAAACATAACATATGGCGGCGAAAAGTGCCAATTTAAGAGAGTAACCGATCGCCTAAAGTGCCATAATGTTAATAAATTTCTTAAAAATGCAACCCTGCGTCTCCCCTCTCTCTCAACTTGCAAGAATGACACGATGATGACGTTAATGGGAACTCTGTGGCTGTGGATGTGCGCAGCTCACACAGACACTCTCACGCACCAATACACTGGTAGCAAAGTCGACCGCAAAGTCATTTGATTAATATTTCTCGCATTCTTTTTGCCTGCGAATTTCACAAATAAACACAATTGTTTCCAATCAGCCCCTCAGCCACCCCTCCCCTTCCTCCCACACTGCAGTTTTACAAGCTTTAAAAAGTACGGTTGTTCTTATGACGCCAGTATATGAAAATTACTTGATATTGCAATGGTGGTGGTGGCGGGCACACTCTCCCGCGTGTGTGTGTGTGCAACAGTAGTGGCAATCAGAATCGAAACGCCGCGCGGGTGAGAGGCGGTGGTGAACGACGAACAGAGCAAAGCAAACTGAAAACTGAAAACTCAATGAGACGCGGAGGCAGCAGAAGGCGAGCAGGCAAAGGCGACCGATGTAAAGTTCTTCGTTTCGTGCGCCGCGTTCGGTTCGGGCTGCCGCCCGAAACGAAAGCACAAAAGTCCGGCGGGAGAGGCAGAGAGTCAGTGCAGCCGGTTTGGCGAGACGATCTAGTAGCTCAGTTTATTTAAAGTTAAAAACTTCATTTTTTGATAATCTTATTAGTATTTGGGCTAAAGAGGGAGAAACATCGTTGCCAACATCGAATACTTTTATTTATTTATATGCTTGTTCTTGCATAAAAATAGGAGCTTGTTCACAACAGTAGACGGTCGGAAATCAGTTTGCCAACCTGACTAAATACCCTTTACGACTCGCACGAAGCTGCAGAGAAATAAAGTTCTAAAAACTATTCATTCTTTTTATATTAAAGGCGATCTGCTGTATATGGTCGAGAAGGTTTGTTGGGATGCGGGTTTTTTTAACTGGTCCCAAACAAACAGTTTCTCCACCTCTACCAAACTACGAAAACAAATGTAACAAATGCATTTATAGTCCATGCTTAAAAAACACAAGTAATCGACAAATTTGATCTGTGCAGATCTTGATAAAAGCTTACTTTTTAGTTCAGGTAGGACAAATGACCCTTAAAAGCGCAATAATCATAATAATGTTAAATTGCAATATTGACTAATCAGTGCATTGTAAGGTAATAGGTAATAACACAAATCATTTTTGGTACCACTGTTTTTGCTTAACAGACAAGCAAATAAAACTAATTATTTGTTTTTTTGACTTCACAAGCTAGTATTTTAAATATGCTTTAATATCTTCAAAAAATATTTGGTTACAAGAATGTTGTTCAAAAACATAACCCAATTTAACAATTATTCTATTGTTTTTTTTAATTATGTTTGATTTGGTTATTTGGGCATCCTTTTTACGCAGTAATAGTAAGAAAAAGTAATGCTTACTATACTAATTATCGTTCAAATAATTAGGTTTTGCTTTAATTAAGTTTCTTTTTTTAGCTGTCTTTGTCTCATTTTCATAATCGCTTCGCGGGCCAAATGCCAATAGGATAACAACAGACACCAAGAAAATGAATTTATTAATTGTTTTTGGCAAGAAAAGTATTAACACAAATTCGAGAAACCAACTTCAAAAGATGTAAGAAAGGGAACTAAGGTCTTGAATAAGATTCATTGTTTCAATATTGTATGCCTTATTTTTAAAAATTCAATTGACTTTTTACACCTGCATTTGACCAAGAAGGTGTCAACCTGCAATTGGTGCAATTGTCGAATCTGGCTTTAAAACAGCTGAATGGGCAGCGCTGGTAAGAGGTGTGGAGGCAGCGAGAGAGCGAGCACGAGAGACACCGCAAGATACAGATACAATGCGTGCTACAGCCTGTATATGTGTGTGTGCGATTGCGTTGTTCTTATTAACGATTCGCTGTCTTTCGTTCTCTCCCCCTCCCCCTCACTGGTGCTGCTTTTTCGGGGCTTGGGCACAAAAAGGCGGCAAAATGGTTAAGCACACAATTTCGACCGGGTCCAACTGGCCAATTTGAATGTGGAGCAGGACTCGCCAATTCCAATTGCACTCACCAGCGTTCGAGTTTGTTTTATCCACAGTACAGACGAGCAGCTAAGCTACCACTCCTTTTTCTGGTTGCAGCAGCGTCCCTCGGCAGACGCTGTTCACGAATTGCTTATTGGCGATCTATGTTATCCCTCCCGATCTTTTCTTTCACTGCCAACTAGTCACTAACGACATTGCGCGCACTGTTCACTTATATTTGGCTCATTAATTAGTTCGGTGTCTTTATTTTCTTAACATTTAACGCGAATCCAGTTTGTAGTTTTAGTTGCGGGCGGAAGAGCTAGAGGTGGCGAAACACCGATGCAAACATCGATGCCATCGATGTTTTTAAAACTATCGATGTTTGGCGGGGATCTAACGATATTTAGCATTCGATATTTCACGGTTTCTTGCACACTGTTAACTTTTTACTCCACTGCTTACCCTCTGTTAAAGTTAATTTATGCTAAATTGCACTCATGTTAAAAATGTAAACAATGTTATTTAATTCTAATTGATCATTGTAACGAACTAATTTTGTTTGGTCTGTCGCTGCAAAGATATAAATATGTGTTTGTCCAACCAAATTAATATAAAACGTCCGATTGGCCAGAGAGAACGCACAAAAAGTTGGAATGTTCCAGGATCTTTATTCGCCCACTTAACCCTCGCGCTACTAAAGACGAACCCGCCGTGTAAATCAATTTTTAATCATGAATTATAATTATTTATTTCGTTTTTTGTTCACAATCCGTTTAAATTCACCCAGATTCTTACACACTCAAACAAAGTGCATTTGATTACTGTTAGAAATGTTTGATAATCCATATGCCGAAATATATTATTCCAAACTAAAGTTTTACAAAAATGTTTGTATTTATCGAAGTAACAACCCGTTTGTTTTATTTCCCTTTGTCTTTAGCTACAGCAATGTTAAGTACGTAAACTAAAATTTTACATTTTATTTCAAACATCAATTAAACATTCAAATTTTCCGCTAACAACATCGAAAACATCGATGCCCGCAAAAGTCGATGTTTTTTAAGCAGTGTAACCGGCTTAAATACCGCAAATAGCGATGGTAATACCGTTAAGACAGGATATCATTGATTTCTTTTTTCCAACTTTAAAAAAATTTTTATATTTTAAAAAAAAAAAAAAAAAAATAAAAAAATATTAACTCTTAAATTATGGCACATAAAAACAAAATAATATTGCTATGAAGTTATTAATAAACTTTAAAGGCTAGTAAGACAATACATTTATTTTAAGGATTTATGGCTGAAAATATGTGTTTTTAATTAAATAGTAAGAACATAGTTTTACCATTTTGGGACATACATATTTGTATATATATGACGGAAAAAAATTCAATTATATTAGTTTTCCGCTGATTTTGTGCTGCTGGTTTAAGAAAGTTTAAAATTGAAATGTGGTTTACTTCCTTGAAGAACAAATCCTCTAATCCTTTGTTATTTTTTAGATCTGTTACCAAATATGGATTTATTTAAGTGTCAATTAAATTGAGCAATATAGCATTTCATTGTTTTAAAACTTCGCTTGAATTTTAAGTATAAGTTATTTAAAGATTATTTAAACACGGGGAATACTCTATTTCTTTGATTTGCTTTTATTTAGCTTTATCGTAAAATAAATTACAAAATAAAATACATTTTGCATATAATTCGTATCCTTATATGTCTAGTACATTAATTTACTCACAAATCTTTTGGGTTAATATTGCGCTGTGCTCTTTCATACTCTTGCTCATCTTTTGTTTCTTTTCTAATGCTAAGAACCAATACAAAAAAAAACAAATCAACTTGCCGCAGGCCGCGCCCCCTTTCGTTTGTGCCTGAAGCCTGAGGCGTTGAAGCCGAATAATGAATAATGAATATCGTTCATCGTCTATAGCTAAATGGAAACTATAAGAATCACACGAAATCATATTAAGGTATTCAGAAAAATTGGTCAAAAAAAGTAAACAAGTTAAATTCGTAACAAATGTACAGGGAAATATGTTGTGGGCGCGGAGCGAACGCTAAGTGAATGACGTTGAGATTAAATTGATTAGTTGCCATTTACCAGCAGGTTGGCCAAGTGAGTCAATTACAATATTTAAGCCTTTTTACAAACAATTCTTTGCGCTTTCTGTGATTTTCTATCGTTTGGCAATTGGTTACGCGTTGCTATAGTACTTTCTCCATCTGTATCTCATTAAAATCCCCCCCCAAAATCCTTGACTGCATCGGTAGTTTCGCTTACAAGACATATACATCCATTGGCATGTACATATACTCTATGTAAAAAGTGGTCCTTAATTCGAGACGTGTGGTTAAAACGTTTTGTGTGTGTGTGTGTGTGTGTGTATACTCTATATAAGAGTGTGATTCTGCACATATTTTAGCTGTGGGCATGGGGGATGCTGGCTAAAAACCTGAATCTGAATTAGCGGCTAAACGGAGCTATATGGTTCTCAAAATACAGAATCGATCGGACCTACGGACTTCTACACACAGAACAGAATACGGATCTCTTGACTCATTGCTGCTGCTGCTGCTGCTGCTGATGGGGTTCCTCTGCTGTTTTAGTTGGCTAATATAAATCACGATAGTATGGCCACGCTGCGACGCGGCCCGCCCTGACTGATGTTGTCCATGGAGGACCACTTCTTGATACCATTCTTGAGCGCCTCGGCGGTGACCTTGTCCTGCATCACCCGCGACATGGCCTCCAGTTTCTGGGCCCGCTCCTTGGACAGCGGCTCCGTGGGGAAGTTCAGCTCGTTGGCCTCCGCGAGCGTCCGCAGATCGAAGTAGTATTTCGCGTACACCGACGACGGCACGTTGATGTTGAACTGCAGCAGCTCGAGGAACTGGCGCTCCAGTTCGTTCATGTCCTCCACGGTTATGTCTTTGAGTATCTGGCAGTAGTCCACATTCCAAACGGCCTGATCGTCCCACACCTTCGAGGCGAGCAGTATTGCACCTGCAAAAAAACAGTCAAAGTTGCATTAATTTAAATATATATTGTACATTTAATTTGTCAATGTTTACAGCCAAAAACTATCTTTAAAAATCTTATAGATTTGAGCTAAGCATTCACTTTTAGTTTGGGTTTTAAATTGGCCTAAAGACCTATTATTTCATCAAAGTATTAAAAAATAAGAGTTCATGACAAAATAACTAATCATTAAGGTTCATTTTTTGAAAAGTAACATTATTTACTCGAATTTTAGACAAAATGCCAAAATAGAAACATTATACATTTATTTTTTAAGAATAATTTCCTTAGATTTCGTACAATTTTGTCCTTTGATTTCGATGTAAAGTTATTACGACGAAAGGCTCTTGAAAACTAAATGTTTATCCTGAACGGAATAGAATCTTCTTTTCAATTCACATATATCAGTCAGTTTTGATCGGATTTAATTTAAAATTAAGGCCTATTGAGTCGGTATTACAATCTTGTCGGCAGCAATTGGAAATTGGAGCCCTGAGCGAGTGAAGTCATAGGACCTTTTGACAAAAACTCAGCTCAAACTCATGATCTACTTGATCCAAGTCGGAAAAGCTCATGGGACTCATGACTTCTATGGTATATGGTCACTATATATAGCCCAAAATAGCCGCTTTATAATGCCAAGTCGAAACTCAAAACGCGAATTCTTTAGAACAAGCGGCTAGCTCTATTAATTCTTAAATTGCTGTTTATCTAATTTGGTCCCAAAATCTAATCCGTTCAGTACACAGGTTTTCTATATAGACAATAAACCCCATGAATACTAGGTGAGTTAAACGAGTCTACTTGATAACTGAGTTGTTTTCTGATGAATCAAGTAGATCAACGTTTATGTTTGGGCCTTATAAACTAGGAATTAATGAGAGTTTGATTGGCTTATGACAAGAAAGATAGCTACACATTCAATTATAAATAGTGCTGCTGCATCTGGTCGAAACCACACTCACCCAACACCATGCGCTTCCAGTTGCAGGGACCCACGTCCAGTTCGGCGTAGGTGAGCAGCCGCTCCAGGTAGACTAGCGTGATGATGGCACACTCGGCCGTCAGCTGGGCGGCGTTGAAGAGCGTGCGCACGAACTTGTAGATCTGGCGGTGCTCCGGATTGTGCGTGTCGTAGTTCTCCGGCACCTGGTCGTGGGTCAGTGGATGTAGCTTCTCGTCGAAGATATCCAGCCGCCGGTCCGATTGCCGGTTCTTGATGTGATAGTAAATGGCCAGCGAGACGCATTTGACCGTATTCTTTAGATTCGGCTGCGACACGGTGCTGTCATCCAGATAGATTGTCGAACAGGAGGAGCTCTTCTTCATGCCGCCGCCGGTGCCGCTGCCAACGCCTCCGCCGCAACTATTGCCACCGGGAGTGCTGCCACCGCACGCCGCCTCCACCTCCACCCGCCTGCTGGGCAATTTGCTGCTGCGAACGCTTGCGCGTCATGCCGCCGTTCTCCACCTTGGATCGCTCCAGGAACATGGTGGCCGCCGTGGGGTCCACCGACGGATCCTCCTCGCCCTCCATCGCCTCCCGCTCGGAGATGTGCTGCAGATTCTGTTGATTCTCGAAGTTGTCACCGCCGCCGCCGCCGCCGCCGCCTGGCTGATTCTGCTGCTGATTATGGCCATGGTGATGGTGATGGTGGTGCAGGTGCACCGCCGACGAAGAGCCATGCCCATCCAGCTGATGCTGCGACGTGTGCGGCGGATGGGACAGCTGATGGCGCTCCTCGAACACCGGCGGCAGATCCTTGGACTTGCGGTCCGACTGCGGACTGGAGTACGCACAGCATGAGTTCTTGTTGCCCATGTCGCTGGATCAGTCGGGCTCGGTGCTCAATCTAAATGCAACTTGGCTTGGCACTCGATCACTCTCCCTCTCTCTTTCTCTCTCTCTCTCTCTATCTCTGTTGACTAGCGAATGGACTCCGGACTTCGGAAACGGATGCGAATCGGATCCTGATCCTGGCAGTCGCTCACGCTCGGTTCTCACTTTTGGCACTTGGTCGTCGTCGGGCGTCTTTGTCTATGTCTATGGGCATGGCGCTGGCGTTTCTATCGCTCCACAATTACCGCTGCCGGCGAGCGTTTCCTGCAAAGAAAAGATAACGATTAGCTCCGGATTCTATTCGATCTTATCTCCCATTCTGTTCCCATCTCCCATCCCAAAGCCACTGCCCATTATTATTAATTGTGGTGTTGAAGGAAAGGGTATCGCAAATATAAGACTAAGTTTGTTAAGTGAGTTGCATAGAAATTACACATGTTTATACCACAATAAATGTTTTGGAGATTCTTTATCAAAGATTTTAGTGACTGACTTGACTTTTTAATACAATAACATTGCAATATTATTATTGAATAGAATTATTAAATAAAATGATTTTGTACATAGTGAAATATTAAACAAAATGAAGACAATAAACAAATTGGACTTGAAAGTCTCAATATTTAAATATTACATTAATTAAAAAGTTTTAGCAGCACCTATATATGTAGATCAGTAATATTATAAATATTATTAATACCTAAATAATCGTATCACATTCATTGTAAGGAAAGGAAAATGTTTATACGATCTGATAATAATTTTGTTGTTTTGAAAGATAGTGAAGTAAAATCAGTCACATGACAACAAAATCCATTCCAATCCAGTTTAACACTGCGGGAAGACTATATCGAATCTACAGAAGGGTATTTCGGAATTCGACTTGAGAGCCTCGATATCTTTGATATCTTCCGTTTATTTGCCCTGTTTATGGGCGGAATCGTTTTGGCTTAGAGGCCGGCCAGATTGTTGTGCAAAAAGCAAAAAATTAATTAAGCCCAGACACGACAGTGGGTGCAAGTTGCCTAATTTGGCGAGGTCTTTGTGTTATTTTCTAATATTTTTGTGGTGGGGGGAGGAGCACGAATACGATTATTTTTGGGAGGGGCGGGGCATTGAAAGCATTGAAAGCTTGTGACTCTGTGTTTACGGGTCTATTTGGATGAATTGTCATTGTCACCGGGAACTGATGGCATGGCCCAGTTCCAGGGATTGCCGTATCAATCGTATCAATCAAACGTTGCACCGTTTTCCCCGCACATTAATCATGGATTGGAATGAATGAATGAATGAACGGAGCGCCGCTGTCGACGCGGGCAGCGCTGCTCGGCCTCCGCCTCTGCCCGGAGAAACACCCACGAATGGCCACTAAACACTCCACTGATTCGACTTTAGGCATCGATGATGGCCTCACTCCGATCGGTTGATGTCCGCCTGGCGAGCATTTAGTTATTCCGCCTATTTTCACACATCTTAATTGTTTTTCTCGCGTTTTTGGTTTAATTACCTGCTCGAAAATGAAATGTATCGTATTTTATAAATATCGATATCAACGACAGTGTGGCTGCAGCTGCTTAGTGTGAATATACCATCCGGCTCACAAATAAATACTGAACTATTAAAAAAAAAACATACTAAAAATATATATACAAAAATTAAGGGTACTTCCCTTCCCGGTTGATTTCCTAAGCTGCTTAAATTATGGAATTTGAGCATTAGAGAAACTAACTGTAAATTTTATCTGCGGAGCTAACTTGTTTCGTTATTAGTAATTAACGACAACAAAGAAAAAACATTTTAATTTTTGTGAAGCTCAGGCTCCTCAGGCAGAAATTCATACAAAGAAATTTATTAGCGCTGTTATATGAAGAAGAGACAATTTCTCATTGGTATAAAATTATAATTATATAATAAATTTGTCAACAATACCAACCGTTCCACTAGGATGTGCTATGTAGGATTTAGGTATTAAACAATGGACTTCCAGTGCAGCACTAAATTCTTGGCCGAAAACAATTTAAACTTGCATGTCGGCTATCCAAATTTTTAATAGCCAAGGCCAGGGTATAAATCTTTTTTAGAAAAGTGTGATCAAGGCGCTGTTTGGAGGTCAATGGTGCTCCGTAGTTTCAAAAATGTATCGTTTTTCCCCTAAGTGGCATCACTGAAAAAGTCACTCAAGATAATTTTGTATGGCCTGATTCCATTGGCGCATTAAAGCGCATTTAGCCTAATGCGCATTTACTTACACAGGGGACTCATATAAAGCTAAGAGCCGCGTTTAAAATAAATGCCATAATTAAAACGAATCAATTCGGCTAATGACTTTTAATAGCATTTTTTTTTTTATGCGCCATTTAGCCTCATGGGAATCCCTGAGTAAATAAATGCGCACTAGGCTAAATGCGTATTAATGCTATTAGAGCCTTAAATACGTTGAAGATTCTAAAAATTAAATCGTTAAAAAAAACTACCCCCATTTAGGTTTAATAAGAATTTTTATTAGTATATTAAAAGTCATATGGTGTTATTATAGTTTACTTGAAAGTATTTCGTAATAAGCATACATCTCAGCCATATTCCTTTTTTTAAATTTCTTTTCATTTATTTACCACCGCCGTTAGTTTATGCATATTAAATGTTGAGTTCAACAAAGTAGGAAAATTAAAAACGTTTCATTAGTAGGCTTTTGATTTGCGAAAACTTGTAAAGTACACAGTTAGTTTGCTTATTCGATATATAAATAACTGTACTAGAAATGAACAGATGAAACAAGGTTATTTACAGATTTCAGTAATATTCGACTTCGCTTTTGTTTGGGTGGTGTGAACTGGCTATTTGATTACCTTTAGTTAATGTGCATTTTTACTAATTTCCTACATCTTTTTGCATCCTGTGCAAGTTGTATTTACACAAAATGTATTTTTTAGATTATTATTAGGGGCTTTATATTTAAATACTTTATATTATTTAAATGTAATGATTGCTTTCAACTTATATACTGTATGCATGTGTGTTCGTATCCATATGGTTCCATCAGCTCAGGGCTTATTACCATCTGCACAAAAGTTTGGTCACAAACCTCTTTTAAACGTTGGCTGGAATTATAATATATAAATTTTTGTGTTTTGTGTGTGTTTATGGTACTACTAGACTACTTTTTGCTAATAACATTGAATCGTAAACCTCAAATATATCCATATGCATACGTTCGATTAGTACTTCTGTAGTTTGTTTATTTTTCAACAGAGATAAATAACAACTTTGCTTTTGGTTGAAGGTCTGCAGCCTGTGTTACAGCAACTAACGCTAGATTAATCAGGACTTTGTACAGATTTTTGAGAGAGGTCGCTATATATATACGATATATATGCGCATCGCTTTGAGCGTTCAATATTGATATACATTAACATACATACATGTTTGTTCAATAATATTTACTTTCACATAATAGATATTCTGTCGCTATGTTTATCCCATTAATGGTTAGGAGTAGATTATTCTGCTGTGTACGTTTGTTCTGTTTCTGTTTCTGTTAAATGTTTCTTTTTCTGTTTTCTGTTTTTTGTTTGTTTTTAATTTGTGGCTACTAGTAGACATGGTATGCCGCCACCCACCGCTATACACATCTGCACCACTGGTTCGTACATTTATCGACTACCTTAATAAAGCTATGATCCCAATTTCAGCTGATAATTTGGTACCTTACTGCTAAGCACTTTTACCACTGCCCTTTGACGCTGTCTGTTGGGGTCACCCTCTCGCTTTCGCTTCCGCTTCTGCTACTTTCTCCTCATTTCCGGTTGTATTTCCCATGGTATTTCCCCGCCTGGTGGTAAAGAGCAGTGGTAAATCTTAAAAGAATGGTCCCGCTATCAGACATTTTGAAAAACGTTTGAAAACATTTCAAGTTGGTTAAAGAAAGGAAAACCGAAACGAAAAGAAATTCAAAATCCTCCTGCGACTCAAGCCCTCCTCGTCGTCCGCCCACTTTCGTCCCTCGCTCTCGTATAAAAATAAATATGTTTTGTAGAAACGTGACTATTATATCCTTAACAATACATATTAAATATCCATTCGTATAGGTAGCTATGTGCATTTGTAGAGTGGAAAGTTATAGAAATCCTTTGCCTTCGATTTGGTTTTTGGGGAAAGTCTGTTAGAGGGTTATTGGAAAGTATATACAAGTCGTACAACTAGTTGTCAGGTAATTTTTGGTTTAGTTTTTAGTTAGGTACTTAATATCTAGACAGCTCTAGACGAATCCGTCGTCCCTCCGCGAAAACCACTCACTAATTTGAGCATTTTGAGTGGTTGGTAAATGCAAAACGCAGAAATAAAGGCGAAAATAAAATATGGAAACGGTTACAAAAAATATATGTATTTAATTAGAACGAAATTGCATACATCGAACTTATAGAAATCATATAATAAATTCCACATTTGACTAAAACTAATAAAAGACAAGTACAACTCAAGTCTAGGTATAAATGCTCTCAACGAACCAACAAATTCACAATAAATTTCAGTTGAACTCTTCGCTATTTACATCTACTCGTTTTTTGTCTGTTTGTTTTTGTGCTTGTCCCTAATATTTCCTTATGTTTTCTTTTCTTTTCTTTGTTTTCCGCTTGCAAACAACAAAGTATACAGTATTTATACATATATTTATATATATATATATCGTTTTTAATGTTCCGCAACTAAGCCTATATAAATGATGTACGTTAGTCTAACTCTACCACAATTCACATAGAGAGCGCATCAGAAGCGGTTTGTAATTAATATTCTAGGCTGCTTCTAAGCTTAGTAAACATTATTCTTGGTACCGTCCCCCCAGTTTCTTTCAGTGTAACAATCCGAATTCGTTCCGAAATTTCCTTCTGTATTTTGTATTCTAATTCTGCTCTTCCGTTTCCGTTTCAGGTTGCTGCCGCTGCCCGGCAGGTGGCGCCGATCCCAATTTAGTCGGCAGCGCCATCTGCCGGCTCCGCAGTTGCCTCAGTTTGTTCGCCATCGGCCGTTTCCGTTTCCGCCGCAGCCGACTTGTTTTCCTCCTCCTCAGCCGCCGCCGCTGCTGCTGCGGCTGCAGCTTCCTCCGCCGCTGTGGCCAAAGCTCGTGCCTCAGCATCTGCAATGGGAAACATTTTTGTAGTATTTATAATTCTCATTAATAAATTAAATAAATAAATTTCTAAGATTTAACACGTACACATTTACACCTTATATTTGTTTAAAACACTTTTAATTTGGGTCTAGATTGGGTCACATTTGTCAAACATTTCTTAGGATGGCTATCAGTTTGAATCAGGAATTGAAAAAAATAGTTTTGTGACTTTTATTTTTAGAAAAGTACTAGGAATTTTATATTATTTTATTTTTAAATTGTTGGCCAAAATTAAAATTTCTCTTGTTTTTCCATTTTGGTTAATTTGTATATACTTTGCAATGGAGCTATAGATGGAGTTTTTCAGCTCATGGAGTAGTTTAGTTTTATAAATTTAATATACGGTTTATAGAGACAAATAAATTTGGATTTAGCATATATCGATATTATATTTAAACAACTATTATATATAAGCAAGGCCTTATTTAATACAAAGTTGTAGATAACATATTTTAATATAAAAAGTTGTAGATAACATATTTGTATAGAAAGTCAAGTTAGCTATTAAAATTTAGTTTAAGATGCTTGAACAGCATTTTATATGCAACTTTTTAAGTACAAACAGATCTGTGAACATGGCCTAGATATTTTCTACAATAATAATCAATAATTTTTATTAATTTTCATTGGCGTCTTTAAAACTAAAAATGTCATTTCTAAGAGAGTCCGGCTTAAGCTCTTTACAGAAATTTAATTGACATCAAACAAACCAGCTGTTTGTTTATTCTTTACAAATTCAGATATTTGAAATGCCTCGTTCGCAACTGCATTTGTCAGCCCGCGAAATCCTTTAATTCTTCATTGCGACTCACTTTAGTTGGTAAGCGGATTGGGCTTGTATTTGAATGGGAGGGGATCTTGATTCGCCTAATGACCGCTCTTTCGGCGCCGTTCCATAAGCTCTGCGTAAGAAGGTTTATGCATGAATTATAAGCGCCCACTGGCAGGCCAAAGAGATCAAAGCGAAGGACAGGTCAAACTCAATTAGCTCAGTTAATGTGACTACAAAAAGCGGGCCAAGTCGGCAAGCAATTAATATGATAATCAAAGAAGCACTGCTCTCGAGGTATGAAAAATTTAATTTCTTCGGAGGAAATGGTATACAATATTTAAGATTTTTTGGAAACTATTTTTTTGGGCTAAAAGTTTTCTGGTATTTTTTTTATATTCTCATTGCTTACTTTAAATGGTAGTAATTAAATATTTAATTATTCTAAGTAAAATTTCTGTGAAAAAATACATTTTTCTTTTAATAAGGAAATAAAAAAAAAATTGATTAGAAATGTATAGCAACAATTTTAAAATGTTTTAAGACTAGACAGAAAAAAATAAATAAATAAAATAAAAAATATATTTAATACAAATATTATGAAGCGTTGTTTTCTTAAATACTGAACTGAGATAGTTGAAATATAGTTAATAAAATTAATTTTTTAGTTTCAGAAATACTATTTTGAAAAACTTTTTGACAAATTAAGCAATTTAAAATATCTATGTATATAAGAGTTGCGATTTCCTAAGAAATATATTTCCTGAATTTAAACATTTTAAATTTAGGAATGTATTTCTATAGCATTCTTAAGCATTTAAGTTCTATTAAATTAGCAAAAACGTACCTTTGACGGCCTGCTCCTTCCAGATCTTCTTGTTCTCGACCAGACACACCAGCCATGGCTTGGGTATGTTGAACTTGGAGCCGGTGGATCCGCTCTTGCGGGCGAGGAACTCGGCGGTGGGCTTCGGAGCGGTGGTGGTGGCGGTGGCGGTTGGGGGAGCGGGAGCGGTGGAGGTGGCGGGGGCCTCGCCCGGCTTGCCCATGCTGGGCGTGATGCCCGTGGGCGGATGGATGCCAGGGGACGAGGCGGTGGCCTCGTGCTCCACCAAAGTGGAGGGCTTGCCCTTGTTCATCGGCGCAATGGGGGCCAGGATCAGCTCCAGCATGTCGGACATGACGCCCATGCTGGGCTCCACGATGAAGTCGATGAAGCAGATCTGCGACTCGGCGACCAGCGTATTGTTGCGGTCGCACAGCGGACTGAAGGGCAGGCCCAGTTCCTTCTCGAGGTCACCCTGGCGGAAGAACTCCTCCAGCAGGAGCATGGTCCAGCGATGGTGGACACCCCACTGCTTGGCGGGATGCGAGATGTCGCAGCAGTGGAGGACCAGCGAGAGGACCTTCTGCTTGTCAATGGTCGCCTCCTGGAGCGTCAGCAGCTGGCGCATGGCCTTCATCTGCTGGAAGTGATTGGTCATGTCGGTGCCCAGGACCATTTCGATGACGAGGCCACGCAGTTCGCGGAACTCCTCGCGCGACAAATGGGACAGGATGTTGCAGTCGTCCTCGCGCAGCAGCCGGAAACTGGCGCTGGCATGGTGGTTCTCCAGCACGGCCCGATCGTTGTAGAGTAGCGCCGTCTCCGATCCGGACATCACGTGGAAGTTGTTGGTGGTGCCCGTGTGCTCGTAGTCGTGCAGCAGGGCCGCCAGCAGCGAGGCGAAGATCTCCAGATCGGTCAGCCAGTTCATCAGACCCGTGTTGCACAGGCAGTAGTGGATAGTCTGCATCACGTCCACGGCGTGCAGGTTGTTGTGATACGGGTTCCGGTAGCGGCAGTAGCCCTCCTCCACGCGGTGCAGGAACGCCTCCAGCGTCCCCGGCGCTATCTTGAACTTGTGGATCGAGCCGTAGCGGTTGAACAGCTCGTAGGCCACATACTTCACCACCTGACCGCTGGCCGCCTCCGTCAGCGCGAACACGTCGAATGTCCAGTCGTCCAGGTTCTGCGGGTGATTAAATGGCGGATTAGGTTTTCAGATCAATTGGGAAAGAAGATGAAAATCAGTGACGAACTTTATAAATGTTCATTTTTTATTAAATGGTGAAGTTTTAATTCCTGACGGAACAAAGTTTTATTCAAACTGTTTCTTATTAATATTTACATTCTCTTTAAAAAAAAATTGGTTTCTTTTGAACTTTAAAACTATACAACTAAATTGTATGATAATTCAAATTAGGACCACCAAGAGTAAAAAAAAATGAACTAAATTGATTTTATGAATGGGGACGGTCTTTCACGCAGTGACTTTAAAACAATCAACTTTAGAAGAAATAAATCTTAAAAAAAAATATTAGCAAATTTTTTACTTTCTTTAATTTGATACTTAAACTTTTAGATGCTATAGGTGTGATCGTCACTATTTTCTTAACCCGTTAAGAGGTGTTTTTTTTTGGATATAGTGAAACCAATATAATAATCTAATTTAACTTGTTTCCGCAAATCACAAATTAATTTTTCTAAATTTTTAAATTTATAATTTCGTTTTGGGTATCGGGTATTTCTTATCCATAATTAAAATCGAATATTCTTGAATCAACGAGGGGTACTAATATTTTTTTTAATAGTCATTTTTTTAATATGTTCGATTTATGTTCTATGACTCACCTTGAGCAGCCTGACCACGTCCGGTGGGAAGGCGGTGAGGGCCGAGCTGGAGACGCGGCGGTACATGCGGTCCACAAAGATGCCGGCCCGGATGGCGTGGGCCACCGAACGGAACTTGGGCTTCTCGTCGCTTTTGCGCCGGCTGGTGGCCATCTGGCGGGTGAAGGTGGAGGCCAGCCACTCGCGCACCTCCGGCGGCACTGCATCCGGCTGCACCTCCGAAAGCTCATCGTCCTCGTCCGCCAGGCGCCTGTTCGATGGGGTTTTGGGTTTGGTTTTTGGGTTGGGGGGTGGAAGAGAAGGCATTCATTAGTTTCAATTGCATTTGGACAGCTTTTTCCGGGTTAATCAGTTACCAAAATAATACTCAATAAATGTACAAAAATTAAACCGAATCTTTAATTGGTTATCTGCTTTCGGGTTCGGCAAGCTAAAGTTAAATTCAACCAAAACAAAAGCCAAGTCGGAACAATAAAAAATTAAAACAAAAAGTCTTGAGTTTTTGTGTGGGTTACAATTTGGCACGGAAAAAGGAAAGTTTTATTTTTGGGAGAAGGGTAGAAACAAGGTTAAGTTTTTGTATAAAAGTTTAATTAGTGAGCGAGGAAAATAAGTAGTAGTTCTTTGGTTAAAGTAACATTTACGGATACAGATAACTGGTACATATATATATTTGCATAAGCTACTTAACATCTCAAAAAGTTTGGAGGCGGTTGGGGGAGTGTTTTAGTGTTTTCGTGGAAGGTTTAGTGGTGCAAAAGTTGCTACTATGCAAAAAGCTGACAAATTCAGGTGCAGCATGCTTCGTGTGGCATGTGGGCGGGTGTATCTTGAGTGTGTGTGTGTATCTTATGGGCGTGGTCGTGGCGAGTCAACGGATTTTCTTAATTGCATGCCAAGTATCTGTGAATTTTATGTGCAACATCAAAAACGAGAACAGCAGCAACAGCAGGACTTCGTGCCAAAGTCGTCAACTTGTTTACAAAAGGATCCTGAACTTCCTAATTGGCCTCGTACACATTCATGTGGCTACCCACGCACTGTCCGTAAAATCTCTAATAATTGGCCTATTCGGAAAAGTAACCATTCATTTTTAGACACCCAATCAATGTCTTTCCATAGCAACAAAGCTTCGCCTCGTTTTCGTTTGACCCATATTAAATTTCTTAAAATAATGGTGCCCCAGCACAATATAGTTAAAAAGGCAAAGGATATTTTATAAAAAGAAAGAAGAATTTTACCTAAAACATGACAAAAGCATATAAATAAAGTTAAATCCATTTACAAATCTTCACTTCATCTAACTGCCAAATTAAATAATTGTCATTTAGCTAAAAATACTCAGAAATATGGCAGAGCCAAACGTTAATTTAAAAACACCTCTATGGTGCTACTTTTTAGTTTTAACCATAACAAATTTGTTTTTAATTTTAAGCTAAAAGGTGTTGGTGTAAAAATATATAACAAAATTGTATATTTTTTATACAATTTAATTGGAGTTTAAATTGTATAGTATATTGGGCTTAAAACCATTTTGATTAAAAATAAAATGTAATTCTACCCATCTTTGAATAAGTAAGTAATAAGTAAATTGTGAATAATAAATTTGTCATTTTTCTTGGAAAACCATTTTTCTCTCATTACTTGCAATTTTCTTTTTAGTCAAAGCTTCAAAGCACTTAAGCGCTCCATAGAAACTGAAACTCTCAGATAAAATGAAACAGGCTCTAAGTGAGAGGTGGGGAAGTGGGGAAAACCGACTGTCTGAAGCGCTTTTGACTTAAGCAAATTAGCGAAAGATTCAATTATGGTTAATTAGACAATTTTCCGAGCTCAGTCGGTGGCCCTAAAATCATCCTACTCTCACTACTTATCTATAGTGTTGTGTTGGTTTCGAGATTTTCGAGTGGCTCTTGGATTACTGGGTTGACATGAGATGATGGCACCCATCAAAGTGGGTTATGTGAGCCACAACATTAATGACGAACCAAAGAAATTAGCGGTGAGTTTAGGTGGAGCACTATTTTTCGAGAAGAAGGCAGTACTTTACACAAGTTTTCTTAGATACTTGATTTCCATAAGCAACTGCCGATGCGTTTAAAATAGTTAAGGTAATATTTACATTAATTACGTTAATGAGACTTTTAGAATTTCCACCACATGCTTTACAATTTAAAAAAAAATTAATTTTAAAATGTTAAAAAGCAATCTAAAAAGTTTAAAAAAGCTAAACTTTTTACGAGAGATTGTTAGATTAGTGGTTTACTTTTTCAAGCGGTGTATAGCAACAATCAACTTTTGTATAACAAACCACAAGCTCATTATTTGTTTATTTTAAAATTAATTGGAGTTCAATTTTAATAAAATCCTAAACACAAATTTAAGGAGAACACCCACTAGTTTGTGTTGTTAATGTTTCTATTTAATTTGTTGTCACAGAATTGTCTTCACAATTTGTTAGAAAATTAAAGTGCGTTTTACAATTTTGAAGTTATTAAATTCGCAAAAATGGTTTTCACCCCCACCATCATTGTTCTTGCATAACAATCCCTATAAACTATGGCTACAGTTTGTCATGTGGATTTATTTTCTGTGCATTTCCTACCAAGTGTTGCGGTTGGGTAGTTTATTTAGCAGCAAGATAATTCACCCAGCTTTGCATTGTTTTTCTGGTTTGGTTTGGCTTGGTTTATTTTGGGCTTGGACTTGAACTGGGGCTGTGTTGGTTTTTAGTTTTTGCTGTAGAATTATTCTGTATTTAATACCATTCGCTCAGCATGGCATGCTCCGCTTCAGAGACACAAAACATGCTTTCTTTGATTTGTTTTGGATTTGATTTGGTTTTGGATTGAATTGATTTGATTTAAAGGGAACACTTTTGGAGTCTGGCAATGGCAGATCGCACCTTTTCTTCTTCTCCTGCGTCTCCTTGGCGCGATACTGAATTATGAACTGTATCAGCTCGACGGTGATGACGCTTTGTCGGCTGCTTTCACGCCTCAGACGACTCATGGCGCGAACCACGATGGTAATGATGGTCAGCCGACTGGAGCGGCTCGCCGATGGCTCTTCAGGTTCAGGTACTTTTACTTTTACGCTGGGCACCGACAGGAGTGCAGGCACTACAGGCAGTTCACATACAACACCCTCCGCACGGAAACCCGGTTGGGACATGGAGTCCAAGTGGAAGTTGACTTTGTGGCAATGTCGTGCCCGCTTTTTGGCACTTGAAATTAATACATCACTCTGGGCCTTGAATTTGGTCCTCTTCTCCCCGTCGCCCCTTCTCCACACTTCACTTTCGTAATTAGCTGGCAAAACAAAATGCGCTTTTAATGACGGGACAACAGCCAATATTTGTGCAGCACTTTTTTTTTATTTTACTTTTTTTTTTTTGATCACCCGTTTTCTGTGCTCTACGGAACGGAATTCTTTTTTTGTCGCCGCTCGTTACCCGACTTTTGTGTACTTGGTCCGCCGCGAGTTAAGTTTAAACTGAATGGCTCCGGCGCTGCGAAGAGCGCCAGTGAAAAACCCGCTAACGGTTGGCAAAATTTGGCCAAAAGAAGCCATTCCCCACTTGCGTGCCCATGGAATGCGGAGAGTCCTGGCCCAGCAGGATTGCGTGTACAGGGCTGAACACACGCCAACTGCAGGACGAAAAATGTATGGCCGGGAGCAAATGGAAAACTTGGAGCAAAACCGTGCTGCTAGGTGGCCCATATCAATTATGTCAGCAGTAGGACATCGCCGAGTCATGCCAAGCCCAAAACAGAGAACTATTATGTACCAAAAGGCCAAAAGCCACTGAGAGAATTGGTCGTCTTTTATTTGCTTTGGCTCCAAGAAATGGGAACAGTAAATTGCTTAATATAATTTCTGTACTTTTGGAAGAAGTCTCGTTTATTTACTATTCGTAAAAGCATAGGAAGTAGTTTTATTTTAATTATCTTTAAAAATTATTTAAAGATTATTTTTATAAAAGACAGTCCTCCGAAGAGATCCATTGCGGTTTTTATAGATTTTGCTGTTTTAAAGCTTTGTTGGACATTCGATCAAGTTGTTTTTTTCAACGAACCGAAGAATAACTAAACCTTTAATCGATAATCCGTATGGCCTATTTGAACCTATTTTATATTGCTCTAAATATTATAATGTCTTAAAGCTTAGTTTAAAGGCCATATAAAATATTTTAAAACGAATTAAAAACTCTTATTTTACTATGTTTTTCTCTGAAGAGATCCATTCCGGTTGTTATAGATTTTGCAGTTTTAAAGCTCTGTTGGATCTTCGAAAAAATCGATCATGTTGTGTTCTTAAACGAACCGAATAGTAATTCAACCTTTAAACTATTTTATAAGTTTCAAAAGATTATAAATTAGTTAGGAAATGCGTTTAAAATATTTGCAAACAACTTTAAAACTAATTTTGTATTATATCTTATCCCAAACAATTCCCTTTCCATTTTTCATCGCCGCGTATTCCCAAGCTGGAGCTAGTCCACTCGTGCACATACTCTCCCATATATATATTTTTACTATTTCCCACAAAACAATTACAGAAAATGCTAAAAGGCATCTACAAAACAATAGCAACAAAGTAGTGGTAATAGTCAGCAGAAGTAGAGGGAATTACGGGAGCCTGATAAACACGACAACGTCACGAATTCATTTAACCAGAATTCGTAGCAACCGGCAAAAGTATCTGTGGCTGAAAGTAACTTCCTTCTGAGTCCTTGGCGTTTGCCTTTTGTTTAATGACTTTGCCACGACCCCTTCTTTTACTATGCGATTTTAGTGGGTTTAAGGGAAGTAGTGGTTCAAAGCGGCTTGGGTAGTGGGCCGCCATAAAAACAGGTCCAATCCGATACCAACAACCCAACACCACTTTCTCCGGCTTTTCACCAATTGCATTCCATTCGTGCGAGCTTCTCTTATTTTCATTTAATTCAATTTTTATTTCTCCGGCGTGCGGTGAATTGCGTGCCACGGCGTTGGCTGAAATAAATTGCATCTGTTATTGGCACATTTGCATGATTTCTCTATAAGCATTTCATGATATGCAGTTGGCCAGCACGCGAGCTTAAATCTTGAAAAAAGGCTTTAAGTCTGCAACAGGTTGCAGCTCAACTCGAATAAGTGCATTTAAATTGCTCTGAAAATGCTTCTAATTGCTATTGTTCATCAACTTATTCATCTTAATTATTTTGAGACGAACATTGAAGTCCTTGATTTTGATAAGTATGTTTTACAAAGAAAATCTTGGGAGCTATCCTAAAAAAAAAGAGTACAGCTATAATAAATTAGAGGTTTTGTTTCCTAACTATTTAAAATGTCAAAAAATTACAAACATTTTTTTCGCAACCTTTTTTGCAAACCCCTAACTTTAAAGTTTCTAGAATATTTTCTTGAATGTTCTTTGGGTGTTGGTTGATTTTAGGGGTCATTTGATGACAGGAACTGGGGCAACAATGCTGCCACTATTGCCCCATAAAGGAGCCAATGATAATGCGTTTCCCTGAAAGCCAGCTTTTCCCTGCCCATCCACCATCACTTTAGCCGGGAAGCATGCCACTTAATAGTTATGCGTGCAATTTCCTGTACTTGTGCCCCAAGCGCTTTGTCGTTGCTCCCATGATGAGTTTGTGTGGCATTCCTGGTTGTCATCGCCATCGAGGGCACACGGGAAATTGCTGGCAAATTGACAGCTTTGTTTTGTGCCAATGATTTTGTGTTGTCGGCGGCTTTTGAAAACTCACCCACGAAATCGGCTCACATGTCCCCCATTACGCTGCCCCACCCACTCCCCTCCCCCCAATGGTTATGAAATGGGCGGTGTAGGCGAAAGGACGAGTGTGTAACGTAACAAACGTAACGTAACACAAAAGTCAAGAGAAGGGCTCATGGAAAGCTTGGGAATAATGCGAGGGTTTCGGAATTCATTTTTAGTGATGAAATTAAAATTGTATTAATAAAGACAATCAGTCAATATCACTGTTTTATTAAGTCTGGCATTTGAGCAAATGGATCGGTAAGAAATCTTTAATTAGCTTTAAATTAAAAAATTTAGAGTTTCCAATATAAACAATATAGAAACATAGATGGAATGTTGACAGATCCGTATTCAACACACCGAAATCTACGTTAAAAGTATACTTTTAATACTTTTTTTTACAATGTTACTTTAAGTTTTAAATCTCCAAAATTGTATATAATTTTACTAGAATGCCTTTACTTGTAAGTTTCCGGAGTCTTTGGCCCTTTCTCTTTTCATTTTGGTAAGCTGAAGAGACTTAAAATATATTTTTAGAAGACCATAAGAGCAGAAAAATGATTCTAAATGTTTAGTGACGTTATTTTCTTTTTTTTTTATTTATATTCTCTAATATTTTATTTCCTGTAGCAACCCTCGCATTCCAACGTACGCCCACGGCTTTGTGTGATTAAAGTGCGTATTCGCTTTGTATTACCAGCAAGGCGGAAGACAGGACACGGACAGGACAGGACAAGACAGGAGAAGACCTAATAGCAGGACAACAGCACGGCCCGAAGGTCCTTTTATTTGATGCGACTATTTTGGATACATTTCCCAACCCACTGGCCCATTCTTGGGCACTTCGAGTTGCCGATGTGGCAGAAATTGGCAGTTAACATCATTTGTTATTGATTTTCGCATTGGATATCAGCTGTGCTGATACGTGTTCGTCCTCAAGGTGGGGTCGATTGTCCTGCGGCTATTTGCTTTTTTTTGGGTCACTCCCATTGTACTCGCCGGAAGATGATTGATGAGAGTGGACGACGTTTTAGCCACTATTGTACTCCCTATATATAGTATATATATGGTAACCTTCAACTTGGGGCAACGGGGAATGGGGAATGGGTGTTGACCCAATTCCTGTGCGGTCGATGGGGGTTTGCTTCTGACTCATTTGAATATAAGTAACATAGTTGGCAATTTTAATTGGTTTCTCGCCCTGCAGCAGCTGCAGGTGTCCCCGTCGTCGCCGCTAACCTATTAATTATAATGCACATACATCACTTAACGCGAACTGACAATCCGCCTCCACTCTACCAATCAGAGGTAATGACTATTAATAACATGACGTTCCAATTACTTGCTTGCCACGCCCAGTCGCTGCCGCTGACGCCTCTTTTGCGAATGCTCCTGGGGCATAATTGCAGAATTTTCCCTTTAATTGCGATTTATTGAATAATTGGTATTTATTTTTTGGAGTGCACGCAACTTTTTTCACATATTTTGTCACAGTTTTGCCCGATCAGCGCGATGTGCGATGTGTGTGTGTGCAGAGTCCGAAAACGAAAACACATTAAATTTATTTGCACCTTATCGGCATGAATGAAGCCGCAAAATGGCATTTAATTTGTGAATTTTGAACAATAGATATCTGCGCCGTTGATTACGACATTCACATGCGCGCATACCCATGAGCAGTTCTATATCTACCTCAAATTTTACAGAATTTCTGATTCCTGCACTTCTCCGTATTGTTCTTTTTGAAGTTTTATTATTATTTGTTTTTATCATAATTAAACAAAGCCAAAATTGCGTCAGCGACGGCGGCAATGATAAGATACTTTGGATATTGTGGGTACAATTGGGTACTTTTATTAGACTTCAGTGTAAGCAATTATGCAAATTGAATATCAACCTAGGAAATGGGAATACTACATAAAACTTGATCTTTTATTTTATTGGTTTTACAAGATTTAAATGGTGACTATTATTTCATTCGATTTTATAATATTTATTTTTTATTAACTTTTATTCCATTCAGTTTCCTTGTTAAATAATTAATTTCTTTTCAAATAACTAAGTAAAGTCCTCAGATTTTTATATTTTGTGACATCTTTGTGGGTGTTTTTAAGTAATTTGTGGGCTTTTTTTTGACGATTTGCCTTTATAAATCGAAAGTGGGCGACGGCAACGCCCACCTTTTAAGAGCTTAAAACCAAAGCCGGGGATTTGTTGACCTGATTTGGGAGGCTTTTAGTGGGGACAGTTCCTCGCAGATTGTCTTACCAAAAACCAGAAACAATCGGTTGACTTGCGAGCTTTGCCAAAACTGACACGCTAAACTAATTTCGCTGGCGACGGTGGCACATGTAAACCGAATTAAAGTGACAGCCTGCCTCCTGGAGGACGCACATCCTCCGTACTCCGTGCTCCTTACCAGCGGCGCTTGGCTTGATTAATTTTTGGCCGACAAGTGGGGGACGCAAATCATCATCTGAGTGTGGGGCTTTTGTGGTGACGAAGTGCAGGGTGCGGGTAATAGCGTATTTTGCAAGTGAACACACAAAAAGACAGCAGAAGCAATCACACAAATGCACTCGGAAAAAGTACGATCTAAATATCATTTTAATTTGATAATGTAAAAGAGGATAAACAGGGAATAACTGAATTTATTACGTTTAAAACGTTTACCCAGAGTAAAACCCCAGTAAAATAACCATTAAAATATTTAAATGTACCAATTTTTTTTAAACACCAAAAACACAATAATGTCCAATAGAAAAATTGTAGATTTAAATTAATTTTTTATTTAAAAATACATTTTCCATCTTTAAAAAAAAAATGAAAGTGTAATACACTTCGGGGATAAATCAGTACCTTAAATATTTAATGCAAAGTTAAAATTTGGAATGAAAAGTTTATGTAATGTTTCCATTAAGGGTTACGGATTGTTGGTGTCCAAAAATAAATTCCCACAATAGTTTTTAATACCACTTTATAATTATTTTATTACAATTTTAAAAGGACATTGAACATCAATTAGCAAAAAAATATTAAAAAGTTGTTATTATAAAAGACAATGTAAATACCATTGTAAATGTAAATGCATTGTTTTAAAAAAAAATACAAAAAAATTGTTTATAAAAATTTTATACCTGAGTGTATTTAGTTTTGAAATGAAAATTAAATTGTTTTGCAAGCCACTTATCATTATTAAATCTAGTCAACAAATTAAGCAAATCAAAATATCCTGAATTCGTTGAAAAAGTGTACATGTTTAAGCTTTTAAAAATATTTGTACCACAGCATTAATAAAAATAAAGGCAAATGAATACCAATACCCAAAGGTATTTGGCTGCAATGAGTTTTCCGCCTTTAGTACTACATTTTCCGAGTGCATGAACATCAAATACAGACAGATATGGAGTAACAGATATGAAGGTACAGATGATGGGAGGACAAACCGCAGGCGGATGATGCGTCGCTTATTGGCGTGGTAGTCGCCGTAGTCGTTCTCGTGGATGTGACTGTGGCGACGGGCGTAGCTCAGGACGTGGGTGGAACTGGGGGAGGCCGAGGAGCGTGCCGAGTTGCATCTGGACGGACAAACAAGTACAAGTGACAAACATGATGCAGCTCTCTGCCCTCTGGCTTCAATTTTCAATTTAATTTATGGCCCCCCAAACCCAAAACACCCATGCCAAAAAGAAGAAACTAGAACAATGGCTCCGGATTCGCCCGACTTTGCGTGTCAAGGCTAAGCCCTCGAAGTGTTCTGGGAATCGCCATTCGACAACTTAATGCCGATGGCAAGTCGTTCCGAGCCAACTTCAGCTAATTACTCACAGCCACCAAATGGAGTGGAACCGAGTTGGGTTGGCGTTGTCGTTGTCATTGGCCTGGCCTGAACTGAACTGGCCTGGCCAGAGATGAAAGGAGCGCGGTCAACGAACGGCGGACAAAGGAGATGCAAAACCCAATCAGCCAAGAACAATATGAGCAAACATAAATACAATACAATCCATAGTTGTGGGCTAAAGATACCCTGCGATAAACTATTAATATTAACAGAAAAAATCTAGGTAATTTTATAAAAATAAATATAATAATTGAAAATAAAACAAAAAAAATAAAGCCCACACAAAACTTAAAACCTTTCCAAGTTGCTTAAATCTAATATTTCCATTTACCCAAAAACTACATATATTTTTATCTTTACTTTTGTATCCCTTATATAAATAAAGGTATAAATAATTTCTCAATATAAGGAGAAAATTATCATTAAGGAGTATAAAATTAAAACTTTTGTGGCTTAAAAAGTTTAAGTTTTAGACGTTTTGGTATAAAAATTAAACAAAAAAGTATTTAGGTAATATTATTTAGTGTTGAACTAATACTGTCTGTAGTTTAAAACATACTTAGTAAAACTAAACTATCATTTTTTTGGGTGCACAAAAAAACAGTATTTAGAGCTGACTTTATTTGTAAATCTATAGGGTAAGTTTACTAAAATTAAAAAACTTAAAGCCTTTAGCAACTTGCTAAATTCTAATTTTTTCACACCCACGAAAAAACTACATATATGTTCATCTTCCAAAAACCAATAGCTAAGCCAATGCTATAAAAACTGTGGTAAAAATAAGTAAGGACAAACTATTTGCACACTAAAAGGAAATATAGCGAAACCTTTTTTCATAAATTCCTTTTCATGATTGTGTTGGAGAAGTAGTACAGAATATCGTGCACCAAATGGAGCCCCATTAAGGTTCTCATCATAATGGAACAAGCTATTTTCATAAATTTCCATTACCTACAACCAAAAAAAAAAAAAAAAAAAGAAGAAGAAAAAAATGGCTGACATGACAGAAATGGCCTGCACTTTCATCAGACGAAAGTGTTCAATAAAAACTCAGCTAGGGTATGGCAAATCATTGTGGGACTTTGCTCACTTAATCAGTCTGCTGGGAGCTGTTATGGCTGCCTGGAATTGGCATCGGGATTGCTGTCCGCCGTTTGGTTACTCACTCATCCTCATCCTCATCCTGATCCCGATTCTTTATTCCCGTTGGCAGTTTCAATTTCGTCGCGTTTTGCTCCCCACATTGCGACCCGGGCAACGGCAGCAGATTGGAGCTCCACGCCAGTGCAGCAATGCATATAAATGACGTAGCAATTGGAAGCCATTTGTTATGCAGAGCTTTGCTTTGTTCCACAATTAGAATTGCCAACTGGGGACACTCAGCCAACTTGAAGGCGTTTACATGGCTTAAAGGGCAGCGTTTTCGATTTTGAACAAAAGCGGATTGAACATCTTTAAGGTATAGAATTTGTAACTAAGCTAACATTTAGCTTGAACAAAGGACTTAGCATTAAAATTGGTTCAACAATTGTTTAATCGATTTAATAGGAATTTTTTGAGACGCACACTGACAATTGCTTGCTTTCATGGATTGGTAATTCTAGCTTAATTTTAACCAACTAGGAACTAGTAACTAAGTGAGGGAAATGTCGTAAGTTTTGGCCACGTGAGATTTGGTGTGTGGTTTGGCGATGATGTTGTGCAGCATCAGATGACAGCCGCCTGCCTGCGATTCCAGCGCCACACGGTGGCGTCATCGCACACGTAGACCAGGACGCTGGCGTCCCGGGAGAAGGCGATCTGGCGCACGGTGGCCACGCTGCGCGGATTGTGCAGGGTGGTCATGTGGGCGCCCTCCGGATCGCTGGGATCCAGCTCCCACACGTAAACCTTGCCCTGCTGGTTGCCCAAAGCGATCACCTTCTGCCAGGGATTAAAGCCGAACCGCACGAACCAAATCTCACACTCATCGTACTCGAATTCCGCGATGATCGTGCAGGAGGAGTCGCTGGGCTTCACCTGCTCGAAGCTCTGATGAAGTTGACCCGGCTTCCAGCATACGATGGCATTCTCGCAGGACTTGGAGAGCACAAAGTTGCCGAACCACTGCACACAGTCCACATAGTTCCTGTGTATGTCCCGCGTGGAGAAGTCCGGGAAGTGCTTGGTGACCGTGGGAAACGGCAGCGTGGATTTCTCCTGGCTAAAGGTATTGGACAGCTCGATTTTCTTATGGAACTCGGGCGTATTCAGACACCACAGTTTCAGAGAATGATCCATGCCGCTGGACACAATGCGATCCCCACGCATATTGAAGTCTATGGAGAGCACCTCGTCGCGATGTCCCTCCACTCCGCCCAAGATGGCTATGCAGACGTGGCTCTGGATGTTCCACAGCCTGATCGCATGATCCTTGCTGCCCGAGAGCAGCAGCTGCAGCTTGTGCGGATGGAACTTGAGCTCGTTGATGGCCTGGCCGTGGCCAATGTAGTTGCCCACCGCCTCGTTTTGCTCGACGTCAATTACTCTGATGACTCCGCGGTATCCAGCCGCGGCCAAAAGTGGAGCAGAGGTCTTTAGGTCGTACGACCAGGCGCAAGTGTAGAACACCTCATCGGGCTGCGGAGCAAAATCAAGAGTTTATTTTATGCAGTCCGCAATCCTAAAGCCTATTTCATGACTCCATTTTTCAGTTGATCTATCTAAATTGCAATCTCAAGATAAGTGCTTCCTAAATCAACATAAAGTTATTTCTTCAGGGGTCAGGCACTAGCAATCCATGGAATAGGATTAAACATTTAAATTGCTGAGGATTTCTTAAAAGTGTTAGCCTAAACAAAATAATCAACTAATATTTTAAACGTTAGTTTTACTACAGAACAGGTGTTCTACGACTAAAGAGTTCCCTTAAAGATCCAAACAAAATCAACTAAATAATTAGTGCATAAAACGGGTCACAACCGTGAATATTTACAGTGGCTAGAGATTAACAATATAATATAACCCACCTAAAGGTTCCCTAAGCTAAACTGGTTTTCAAGGGCTTGATATTATCACATATTGAGTCCTAACAGTCTGTTTTCAGGGTTTAACTTTAACCAAAGGAGCAATCGGGTGTTGGAAATGGGTTTGTATTCTAGTGATTTACAGTCAATAGGGATATGATATGATATGCCTACAGCCATAGGCATTCAATTTGTAGTTATTTCCCTGACCTCTGAAATCATTAATATAGTATAACCCACGTAAGGGTGCCCCTAAGCTAAACTGATTTTCGATCACAGAATGAGCAACGCACAACTTTAACCAACTGAGCAATGGGGTCTTGAAAATGGGTCCGAATCCCAGGGACTCACATCCGGATCGGCGTAGCAGTGGAGCAGCTGCATCCCGCCCTGTCTGGGGCACTCGTAGACCGTGACCCGGTTGCTGCCGGCGGTGGCGAAGACCTGGGGCTCCTCCTTGCCCAGCAGCGTGTTGAAGGAGACGCCGAAGATGTTGGCTCCGTGGTTCTCCTTTACGTGGGTGCTTCGCGAAACACGGGTGGACCGGGTGGAATCAGGTCAGAATCAGTTGCCAGCTCAATATTTCATTAGTGGCTTACTCGTATTTGTAGGCCGGGCGGCTCTTTGGCTTCGACTTGGTGCTCCGGCGCCCACGCCGTTTGCTCCTCGTACTGGACGACGGCGATTTGCTGCGCGAGGTGGTGCTGTTGGTCGTATAACTGGCCGACTCGTCCTGCACGGGCCACGGGCCCCAAAAGTTATCCATTAATTCTCATTCCGCACAGCCATTTGTCATTCGCTACTCACGCCACATGATTCCTCCGACTCTTCGGCTTCGTTGCCGTTTTTCACTTTATCACTGCTCATTTCGAACGCACAGCACGTCTTCACGGATAACTGAACCCCGAATTACGCCCTTGATTGCAATAAACTATGAGTTTATGTTGCTTAAAATGTTTAAATGGGCAGTAACAATGTTTTCCGTCACTTTTGGCGGCATTAGTGTGACCCCAGCCACAGATCGCGAAAAATACTGTGGCATTTTAACGCCATACGGTCTTACCATTGTGTAGAGTGGCCACCTGGTCACGATCAGCTGGCCAGTGTTGGTTAGCCATTAATCGATAAGACGATAAGTTAGACATTCAGGCGGCACAATCAAACTTTGAAATGACAAAACACATGCGCAAGCTAGTTTTATTAAGAAAACAAACAAATGTAGGACAGAAAACATGCCATTGATTCATGTGTGGTAAACAAACTTTTACAGGTACGTATGTACAAAAATACACTGGTCGAACAAGGGATATTCTTTTGCATCAGGCCTATACGGTGGAAATCATTATAGTTTGAAAGAGATTACGAACTTATGTTTTGAAATATGCAAAGAAAATGTTATCTAAATTAATTCAAAATTTTACTTTTTATGAAAAAATATGATAGGACTTTTTAATATTATTTTCCAATTATTTTTATTACTCTTTTTATTATTTGCATTTCTTGAGTTACAATCGCTTCTAATGCAAATAAACTTTTATTTTGATGTTCAAATTATATGAAACTTTTTATATATACATTACTCTTCAGTTAAAAACTATAAAGTTTTCCAATTTCTATGCCTGTGTAAAATGTTTGTTAAGGACAAACTAAGTTTATGAGCACGATTTAAAAATCAGTTTGTGTTCGAACGTAGTAAGTATTAAATTGTACTTGCAAAGTTTTTTGTACAAAAGTCGCGACAAGGAAAATATACAATCCCGCAGAGCGCGGGTGGAAAACGAAACAAGTGTGTTCTTTTTGTTAGTCTAGAATAAAATAGTTATTTACAACGGAAGCGAGCAAAAGATTGGGAATAGGGGACAGAGGCTAGACAGAAGTTTACAGCAGTGGAGGTGGCAGACAGAGGTCAGCAGACAGATAGTAGTTGGATAGAGGAGAGATAGAGAGACAGAGTTATAGAGTATAGAGTTATAGAGAGAGAGTAGTTCATTCTGGAGCTGTGTTTTTTTGGTTAACGCAAACGTCAAATGAAAAAGGCAAATCGAACGAACTGAAGAGGCGGAACGTATAAACGGTTAGCTTAGAAATCAAATCTCAAGTACGTTTTGTTCGTCGACATGGACCTGGCCCAGGTGGGTGTCCGCAGGCGCCGTTGCCGGTGCACGGTCGCTGGGTTGCTGTTACTGCAGCTGCCACTGCTGGTCGCCTTGGCAGCACTGTCTGCACTCTCCGCCGCCTTGGCATCACTTTCCGCCGCCTTGGCACTGGGTTCGAGACCTTTGGCTGGACCCTCCTCCATCACCGATTCTCTCACGGTCTCTAGGGCGGGCTGTAGCTTTGGGGCGGAGGTGGGAGCTGCATCTGTTGCCGGCGGCGGACCGGTGGGTCCACTGTGCGTCTGCGGGGCCAGGGAAACGCCCTTGGTGCGACCCTCTATGCTGTCCTGGTTGTCACCCGCGGGTGCGGTACCCGCTCCCGCTCCAGCGGCCACCTCCTGCAGGCTGCAGCTGCTGTTGGAGTTATTGTTATCCTGCTGCTGGTCATCGCGTCCGTGGCTATGGCGCCCGCAGTTCAGATTCTTGCAGTTGCCATTGCAGCCCTCCCTGTGATACGACCCCCGAGTTGGGCGTCATTTCAAATCCCAAGGCAGGCGGTCAAGTGTTTTTTGGGCATCCAGCAGTTGGCAGTGAGTAACAGCGAACCCGTGCATTGGGCAATTGTTAGGTTACGAGACACCACCACGTTGATGTTGCATTGCATTCGGTTTGTTTGTGTGTTTTGTGTGTGAGAGTTTTTTTTATTTAGTTTTCATTTTTTTTTAGGTTAAAAAGTTTTGACAATAGAAAGAAAGAATATATAAATAGAAAATCAGTTGAGAGATTGTGGTAAAGCTTAAGGGGTTAAGTAGGGGCAGAGAATCGAACTTTTCCCACGAAGAAAATATCACCATCGACAGAACAAGTCAAAACTAGGATTTCATTTTTAAATTCGCCCTAAAGGAACACTATTATACTATCAAATTGAATGGTCGAATCTTTAAAGGTTAAAAATATGTATTTAAAAAAATATATTGGAAAACAATATACTAAATATATTAATTTCTAAAATGGAGCCAACCAACTGAAATCCAAAACTTTTCCCTTCAGGGCAAATTTAACAATGAAAAAAGGCAAGCGACTTTCAATCCAACCTCACTTGGCTGTGCAAATCGAAAAATCGTGTCATTTGGTAGTTACGAAAATGTTAATAATTCATGTGTCCCAGTACGAGTATAGAATACAATGGATACGACGTACTCCGCACATATATTCGCACATGACATTCGGAAGTGGATCGGTGGGGGATTTAATTAAAAAGTGTGGTAAATAATAAAAATGCTCTGATGCATTGGGCTTGTATTTGTGGAGAGTCCCCTTCTGCGGCTGAAAAGCAAACCAAAATCGGGCTGGGAAATGCAAAGCTTTCCGGAAAAGGGTTAAATTGTTTTTAAAATTTGTCTGCTTAATCCAGAGTGCATAAATTATTCTGCAGATAAATGAAAACGAACAGTTTTTGTTTAAATTAAATTATCTTGAAACATTTAAAACTCAAATATATTTATCTTTGATTCGAATTTTTTCCACTTCCATTCTTAAAATTCAACACATCATAAACAATGTGCACCATTGGGAATTAAAGTTTTAACAAATAGCTTTTCAGAGGCGAAGTTATAGCGGAAGGAGAAAATACGGTTAAGTTCAGAAGAGGCACACAGAGAACTCACCATCTGGTGATTTGGCAATCGAATTGAGTATAATGCAAATACACCGAGAGAAATGGCGAGCAAAAAGTTAAAGTTTCTTAAATTAGAGACAGTTCTTAAAAGAAATACGGTGCTGCGATTCGTTAGGGGACGGTGTTCGGGGTCTTAATCCTAACTTGGTAACTCTCAGGAGCCGAAGAATACAGTACACAGTTATACGTTACGTAACGCTAGGCTATGGCTAAGAAATTCTCGATCTCTGCAAACGTTATATGATTATATGTTCGATGAGCGATAGAAGACAGAATAGATGTGATTAATGATGATGGGCTAAAATTTATTTTTTTACTGGCAGAGCAAGGCAAAGAATAGATTTCGATTTTCGAAATATATATGAACTGAAGAGCACTACAAAGTATGAGATTAGAAATAGACGGTAACAGAGTTAGAAAGAAGTTTGGAAGAAGAAAGAGGTGAGAGAGTTGAATAAATGTGGTTATTGTGGGTATCGGGTATGATGTGGGCGCGAGTTTGGGTATGTTTTTTTTTTTTTTTTATAGAAAAGAGATGTTAGAGTTAAAATCAACAGAGTTAACGACAAAACCAAAGCGACAAGTTTGACTCGATGGGAACACTTACTCTTCGCTCTCAACGGATGAGGACGCAATCTGCCCCAACTTTGTTTTACCTGATGTGGGGCTTCTGCTCAATAACACAGACACACACACAGTAACAGTAACAGAACGGATATAAAAAGAAAAATATTCAAATATATGTATACATTCAATTGGTATCAAGGGGGCCTCAAATAAAGTTCTCATGTTAACTAACGAAGTTAGATGGTTTGATGGGAAATGGAAAATGGGAAATGGGAAATGGACTTGGTTATCGGTTGATGGAAAGCTTGCCTTGGGTGCAAATCCGAAATTTGGAAACTACGTAGCGTTAGTCGGATGGATCCTACACAAAACAGGTTACAAAGCCTAAACCAATTCGATGGGAGGCCCCAAGAAGCCCAAGCTGAAGCAGAGTTGTCCAAAGATCACTTCGACCCGACTCGTTATCCTCTTGGTTAGGCTAGCCCGCCAAGAAGCTTGCAAAATGTTCGATTTTGGGGGATGTCTTGTCTTATCGTGTCAGACCCCTAGTGTCACCTACCTTGATTCGTCAATGAAGACGGCTTCGAGTACCCGAGCCGCGTAGTGCAGATTGCGCTGCATGTCCTCGTAGGCCACGGTCTCATGATCCATGCGGCGGAGAAGACTGCGTATTCTGTGGATTTCAATGAATATTAGTATAACGAATTCAGCTAATTTAAGTACTTAGAAATATTCAAAAATATATTATGTATATTAGTGATAAGAACTGGTGCTATCTATTTAAATGATTTGAACAATTAATAATATATTATTATATACGGAATAATATGGTTTTACTGAAAATGGAAGACTTATTATACCCTTACAGAGGGTATCCTAATTTCAGTCAGAAGTTTGCAACGAAGTGAAGGAGACATCTCCGACCTTATAAAGTATATATGTTCTTGATCAGCATCACTAGGAGAGTCGATCTAACCATGTCCGTCTGTCCGTCCGTCCGTCCGTCCGTTTCTACGCAAACTAGTCTCTTTTGTTTAATACCATAACCTTATAAACTAAAGAAACCAAAAATTAACAATATGAATGAAAAATCAAGGTCCATAAATTTTATGAGCTTGGTGCATAAATGGCTTACATACGGAATAATATGATTTTACTGAAAATTGAAGTCTTATTTTTGAATTCGTTTATTCATTTTGAAATAAACAAGTGTTAAATTATGATTTCACGCCTTAATTCTTTTCGTTATCTTGTACTGGAAGGGTTGCCTATGCTACATCATTGTAGACTGTAGCCATGCCTTGCCTTGCGTTGATCGTCCTCTGCCTGATCTCTACATTGGGCCTCACTGGGGCCTGTTTGTGTACTCGAGAATATAGCCCTGTTTGCGGCACGGACTTCAAAACCTATTCAAGCGCGTGCGTTTTAAAATGCGCTGGTGTTAAACTTGCCCAAAACGGAGAATGCAAGTAACAGGGATAAGCAAATGTAACTGTATAATAAATTGTGCGCTTTAAACTTCATTGTTTCAATATATAAATGGTGCCAATAAAATTCCCGATTTGAAAAGTTTTCTTGTACCTTTGTCGTATAAAACAAAAACAAACAAGTAACAATAACAATTATCAATCAGCAGGCTTATATATATTTGTGTTTACTGAAGGAAAAAAATTTCTACATTAAATCATTTGATTTAAAAAAATTTATAATAGTCGGCATTTTATTTGCCGGATATACAAACGTTGTCATGGATTATCTTAGTAACCCCATTTGTTTCATTACAAAATTAAAGTAAATGCAAATAAATGTTTGTTTGACTTTAAGATGTGTTTAAATTACGATTTGTCGCTTTACATGATTAATTTGTAATAGTTCTTTTACAAATGAGTATCGGTAGTGTTTCAGTGTTTCACACTTTAGCCATGCGAGGAATCGTTTTAATCACCATTAGCATTTTTGCGTTTTTGGCCATGACTGCTGCCAAGACTTGCACATGTCCTAAGCGTTATGATAGTGTTTGCGGATCGGACCGTAATACCTACTATAACAAGTGTGTTTTAAAATGTGCATCAAAGACAACTAGATCTAAAATAGCAGTGGTCAAGAAGGGAGTCTGCTAACAATCGGAACTGGTAGTCTTTTAGAAATTCTGAACGAGATATTCGGTTTATTTTTACACGTGAAAGGGAAGCCTACAAAAAAGAAAAAACATTTTAAGCGACATAAAGTATTTATACTAGCTCTAAGAACGAATGTATTTATATCATTGCATTAATGTGACTTTTATTAAAATACCAATCAACTAACGTCTTGTCTGGTTGGCTTCTGAAACAAAATACAAAACACTTTGTAATTAGCTTTCGTTGGGAACAATTGGAGTTTGGGATCTCACGATTGGAAAAAATGCACTACATTAAATTATTTTATTAAAAGTGTCCTTGTAAATGTAAAAAAAATTATACAGAAAGACCATTTTTTTACTCGAATTTACCCTTCAGGTATTAATGATTTTAAAGTTGAAGTCTGCTTTTTCGTTGACAAACGAGAAAAAGACAACAAAAAAATTCTTACTCCAAATTCCAGCGATATAAAGTAATCACATGGATATTTCACATTTGATATTTGTTTTTTTTTTTTTTTAAATTTAAACATAAGTAATTTTTCAAATTTCAAGTTAATAAACATTAAAAGGAAAACATTTTTGAAATTAACAAGTGTTAAAATTATGATTAAACGCTTAAAA